TGTGCTCACACACCTTAGGGTCACTGTACTTTTGGCAGCTTTCTGGGGTCTAGGGGACAGTGCCAAGCACAGCTCAATCTACCGTTTGGAGCTTTTGGGGCAAGGTCGGAGCTTCACAGCAGAAGAGCGAAAGGTACCGCAGAGAGCATTTATCTAGAGCCAGGCAGAGGATGGGCTGAAGCCTGGCAGCAGCCCAGTGAAGACCGAAGCAGTGAAAGCGTTGTCTAAAGATTGGACGAGCCAGCGCTCAAGAGCAGAACACGAGGGTTTGACTTTGTACGAGAGATGCAGTCCAGATGCAGGGCCTGGAGAGGAGGGTGAGGTGAATGAGGCCTTCGGTCTCTATGTAGCTTTACACCATCATATTTCCGTGGGTGATGGCAGGGTAGCAGTGAAGTGGGAAAGCTCACTAGAATACCCTAATCCTGACGTGATCACGGCTAGTGACCGGTGAAGAATGGGGGATGCTGGCCTGTTGACCTACATTGGCGAGTGATTTCTTCGGAAATGAAACATGACTGTGAACGAAACGGTGAATGTTGTGGGTCTCGAACAGCATCAAACGAGTAAACTGTGCTACAAATAGTCCCTAAAGCACTTGGGGTGAGCCTGGGGGGTGGGATTCAAGGATAGGTCCATTTCCCTCGGCAGCACCAAGGAAGCAGAAGCCTCGGGCTGCATGGCAGCGGCGAGGATGGTTTTCATTAATGTCTTCAGAGTTCATGTCTAAGTGAGCAAAGAAACATTGATTTCTGCATTTTGCTTTTCCGTGTGTGAATTCTAGAAATCTGATGTAACTAGGAAAGCTGAGAGCTTTCAAGGCTCTCTCTGTTATTAGGAAACATGCTTTAGATACTGGGGAAGAGGCAAACGAGGCAGCACACAGGACAATACTGGAGTTTGCTTGTTCTGTTAAATCTTGGGTCTTGTGGAGACGAAGACAAGAGCTCAGGACCCAGGAGTTTTGCTTTGCAGATGGCCATAGTGTTTGGGGGTCTAGTATAAAATACAGGTAACACATTCGGCACCTGTGACATGTCCTCTGAGTCTAAGATTCCTTTATTTTTAGTCTGGGTTTTCACTTCTATTTTAAGACCCTGTCTTCCATTACCTCCTGTATTAGCTACTTTTCCCGTACTACGATAAAATACTGTGATCAAAGCAGCTTACAAAAGGAAGAGTTCATCTGGCTTACAGTTCCCGAAGGCTGAGAGTTCATCACGGCAAGGAGACACAAAAGCAAGTGGCAGTCATGATGGCTGTCACAGCTAGCTGACAGCTCACATCTTGAACTGCTTGCACAGAGGATCACAAAGTTCATCTCCAGTGGCATAATTTCCTCTAGCAAGGACACACCTCCTAAACCTCCCCAAAGTGCCACGACTTGGATACCAAGTATTCATACATAACTTCAATATTGCTCATCCAAACCATCATACTATTCTTTTAAGTTTTTATTTAAAATATTACTATCATTATTATTATTTGGTATTGTTATTTTGAGGCAAGGTCTTTCCCTGTATTCCTGACTTGCTTTAAATTTGACTGCCAAACCTGTCATCTTCCTACTATTTTTAAAAAGTTTTCTTGAAGCTGAGAACGTGGGAATGAGGAGTAAGTTTGTGTCTTTTGCCTCTCCATTAGATGATTCAGGAGGAAAAGGATAGAAGGTGCAAATGATGAATTTAGATGCAGGAATGACCCTGGGAATGGCTCCAGCAGTGGGTGTAAAACCCAAGTGTAAGGTTAGGTGTCTGCAGAACATTGGATGGCTCCTTTCTGATGGCCTTCTGTCTCTGCTGTGGAGTGAAGTCTTTCCTCAGGCCAAATACTATCAGAGGAATTACAGAAGTAATAGAAAAAAATTTATAGATTCCAGCTTACACTTCTGACCCTAAGCACCTCAAGCTGTGGTCCATATATAGATTATACCAAACAACATGTCAACTGACCTGAAGTTCTCTGACAAAGCTTTTTAATATATTCACAACATAGCATAGTCCAGGACTATGAGGACATTTCCCCGCTGAATCCAGGGCTTGCTTCAGGGTTTTCTGTCACTTTTATTTTGAGTTGCCAATATTACCACTTGCAGGGTGTAGAGCATTCATTATAGACAGCACAGGTCAAACCTACTCTGAAAGCCACTTAAGCCTTGCTCTCTGCACCCCCACCCCCACCCCTGCCTGACACCCGTTTGGCCCTACCCATGAGATCCTTGAGCTTAACCATCCAAGTCTGCTCGTACTGGATTGTTTCCCTTAGAATTCTGCAAGCGACAGAGTGAAACTGATTAAGATATTACAGGCCTGGTGATTTTCCTCCTGGTATTCACCCAAAAAAAATCAAGGTTTAGGTCAGGGAGCTGATGAATCATTCTGCAAGGCTTTTGTTTTCTGTTTGATTCTTGAAACATTAGGCATGGTCATGAACATGGGACTGTCCCGCTATTATCAGGAGGCCATGAGCACCTTAAAGGAAAATCATCAGTGTTAGCTTTAGTTTCTGATAAATCTAATATATATTTTTTTCATAGATCAAATTGAATTCTTCAGAGAACATTCATTCATGTAAAACTCATGTTAATTTTAGTGCTTGAGGCCCAGAGTGGCGATACACACTTAATTCTAGCATTCTGGAAATGGGGACAAGTGCAAGGGTCAGTATCAAAAGTCTCCCTGGGTTACATTCTGATCTTCAGGCTAGCTTGAGTTCCCTGAGACCATGTCTCCACAAAACAAAATAAGACAGACAGAAAGAACTGGAGCTGGGCTAAGATTCTTGAGCCACTGCTGCCGAATGGCTGGTGGCATAGTGTGACCTTCCACCAAACCATCACAGAAGACTTGGAGGGCATCGACATGGAATTTCCAATCTTTCTGAACTGAGATGGAAGTTGATTTTTATATAAGTGATTTTTCTGTGTTATCTAGCTAAGTAAGTCTCCAAACAACAACAAGGCTTTTGCTAGTTTATAGCAGATTCCAGACTGGACAAAGACAGAGGAATGGATTAAGGTTTCATTTGACATTTAGACATTGATTTGAGTGAAAATGAGGTCAAATCATTTGGTTGAAACTATAGGGTGGTGGAAGTTGATTCAGCGTGGAATTGGGTCTAATCTTTGTTCAGGTGCCTGGGTTTTTCTCTCCTATACAACTACCCCGTCAGAAGGGGTAGACTGATTAACAAGAGTTTTATTGCTCTGTAGTAGATTCCCACTGTGTTAACAAGTGAACCACAAGTGAGCTCACACTGGGTCATAGTGCTTATTTCCCTTACCAAGGTTGAGGTGCCAGTGGCATGGATATTTCACCTCCTTGGCATTTGACTCAGGGCTGTGATTTTAGAAGCTGGGGTTTTGGCTGGGGCTCGGCATCCACCATTTGTCCTCATCTTCCGTTTCGTCCCTGCACATCCCACTAAGCCTTGCTCTCATTCTACTACTACAATAAGGTGATAATTTGCATCTTCCTTGTCTCCATCTTAAACATCACTGCTTGAGTAATATTTTTTAGATAATAATTTTGTCTTAAAATGACATCATTGTAATTCCTACTTTACAGTTGTGTGCATGAAGGCACACACTCACACACACACACACACACACATATTCATATCACCCCGGAGATGACAGAATTGAAGAACTACTGGATAGGAACATTAAGATGAAGCGGTGACAAATAAGTGAATAGTTCTGCGTCCTGATTATGTAGTACATATATGTCACATGCACGACAGAATGACACAGAATAACACACACTTTAACGTCTATTTCTTGGTTTGGGTGTTCTTCTATGTGTTAAAAGATGTAAGCAGCATCTTATAAGTGGGTGGAAGATACATGACCCTTTGTACATTCCTTCCATCAGTACGTGAATCATATTTATTCCCAAGTGAAAAAGGAAGCAGTTGGGCTTTATCCTGCCCAGGCTCTTTTCTGTGTTCATTGCTTGATATTATGCTTCTCTGAATTAGTCATCCATGTTATCTCCCTTGATTGTTCTGCTTAGCTATGATTTCACATTAACACGATTGGCTTCTTGACTTACGAATTGAGCAGCAAAACGTCCTTCATGAACAGTAACCTATCTTTTCTGTACTACTCCACTAAGCCCTTTGAATGCCCACTATTCGTACGAGTCCTGGTTATCGTGCACTAAAACAGTTGACCATGGACTGATAGAAAAAATATGGAGCTCTAATCTCAAAGGATTTGCAGTCTTATGTGTAGACATAGAAAAATGAAAAAAAATAGGTTATCTAAATGTCTGTCATCTGAAACAAATTTGTAGAGGCATAAGGGTTCCTGAGAAAGGAGTTGGGAAATTATTGACATAGATTTTAATTTTTTCCGAAGCTGTTCTGTAGTCCTCAGTACTGATAACATTTTGTTTGTTATAATGGTGTGAAAGACTGAATTAAGAAGAATAACATAGTTACGTGCGTCTATCATCTCATTTTAAGTCAAATGTCGTTTTTGTTTGTTTGTTTAAAAAAACATTTATGGAGAAGCGATGCTAAAAACAGATGCTGGGTTTGGGAGCACAGCTGGGTGGCAGAGTGTTTAGTGTGTACAAGGTCTTGAGGTCTATCCTCAGCAACATACACATGCGATTTAAATTCTTGACTGCAGTACTAACTACAGAGCATGCTCTCTGGTATGGAAAGAAGACTTGGGGAAATCAGAACTGAGAAACACGTGCTCGTTGTGAGGAGCCTTTGTGTATTACTGAAATGCAAAGACTTGTTTATACTGAGGGGAAGATAACACCAGGAGAGTAATGACAGTTTCGGGAAGGATTGGGAAGACCTACTGACACTCAAATTCACATCTGTGTGTTCCCTATATCCCCTTTAAATCTGCCTTCTGGTCTGTGTGGGTAGTGTGCTTCTACTTGTATTTGTATAAATAGGCAACAGGGGGTTGGATTTTCTTTTGTAAAAGCATGGCTCTTTCCACAGTAACTTAAGCCTTTCTCTTTTCCCTGTCTTTACAGTGTATCCTACTCAGTACACGTTTCAGAAGACTATCCAGGTATGCTTTCCCTTTAAAGTTTTTATTAAGTACCTTTGACCATGTTGTTCTTCTGGAGATTTGGAATATGTGTATATGCATGGGACCATGAAGCATTGGCAGGGGAGGCATAAAGACAGAGGAAGAATCCTGTTGATTTTGAGATTTTCCTAACACTGGGCCCAAAATCAAATGTGATTTCCTGATACACACATTCTCATGTACTTACATGGTAGCCTCACTTTTTTTTAAAATACATATATTAAGTGCTTACTGGAAATAGATACAGAAAAGAAGTAGCTGCTAAAGAAATGTTTGACAATTCATAACAAATTATGAATATTGCTTATTTTAAAAAGTAAACAGACTGGGTGTGGTGGCGCATACCTTTGATCCCAGCACTCAGGAGGCAGAGGTAGGTGCAAGTTTGAGGCCAGCTTGGACAACATAGTGAGTTCCAGAAGAGCCAGGGTTACAGAGAGACCCTGTCTCAGTAAATAAACAAGCAACACACACACACACACACACACACACCACAGAGAAACTGTTCAAAAGAAATAACTGCTCGCTATGTTTTCCATATAAAAGCACAGCTAGGCCAGTTTAGAGAATCTTTGATTTACTTGTAGTGATGTAGTGTGGTAAACCAAGTGGCCCCAATGCATAGCTCCCTCTGGTGGTGAAAAGGTAGTACTTTGTTCTTTTTTTTTTTTTTTTTTCCCCTCAAGTCATTGGAGTGCTCCTTTGGAAATCTGACTTGGTTAGGTTTAAAAATTTAAATAATATATATTTAAAATTTAAAAGTATCTATTTTACTTTAGGTGTATGGATGCTCTGCCTGCATGCATATATGAGCACATGTATGTGTATGCTTGTTGGATCCCTTGGAACTAGTGTTACGGGTGGTTGTGTGCAGCGAATTGTGTCAAAGTTCTTTAGGACAACCAGTGCTCTTAACAATGGGGTCATTTCTCTAGACCCTTAAATTTTATTTTTATCTCATTTCTTTTTGTAATCTTCTGGATTGAATACTGTCATGTGCATGCTAGACAAAATGCTTGGCCACTGAGCTACATGCCTAACTATCAATCATTGAAAGGAATTAAGTTTTTTTATGTACTTGGGTGTTTTGCCTGCATATATGCTTGTGAATCATGTGTTTGCAGTACCTGTGGAGGCCAGTAGAGGGTGCTGTATTCCCTGGGACTAGAGGCATAGATGGTTGTGAACTGCCATGTGGGTTCTGGGAATTGAACTCAGGCCCTCTGGAAGAGCAGCCAGTGTTCTTCACCACCGAGCCATCTCCCCAGCCACTAATATTAGAAATTTCTAAATAAAACATTATTTTTTAAATTTTTATTCTTTTTATTAGAGTTCTACCTTGGAGCAAGTTTGTAGTAAATTTCTAAAATAATTTCATTTTCACAAGGTCGCAGAATTCAGATAAGTGTTTGATCTTGATTAGAAAAGGTCTCAGTTTTCTGGGGGAGAAGTCGGTTTGTATATTGTGCTTTAAGTGCCAAGGCTGAGCTTTGAAATGGCTGACCTGTCTGGTATACTAGAAACACCACACAGAAACCAAGTATCAAGTGCTACTTTTAATTGAGTCTGATTCCGAATGCCATTACGGGTGACAGGTAAAAATGGCAATTATGACATTCACACTTCAATGTGTGCGGAAGAGTCCAAATCATGCTTGGTAGTGACATGGGACTTGGTTACAAACTATCAGTATCTCAACTCTGATAGTTGTTGCTTCCGGGGACCTTTTGATCAGTGCTTTTCAGGAGCTCCATCAGTGCGACAGTATTTTTCCTTGTATTAAATTTTAATACAGATTTATTTGAGATTTGTTAATTAATATGTTTTACTTTTTCAGATTGACATATAAAATCACATTTGTTTTTCTTCATAATAACCGTAATTCCCTTTCCCTCCCCCTCCACAAACTTCCTAGAATTTCTGGAATAATTTTCAATCATAGAAAATTTGGCAGTTATGTATCAAAAGTAACATGTTTGTACTTGTCAAAACAAAGCATCGTTTTTTTTTTTAATCTTTTATTTACTGTGTTTTAGAACATTAGTGACTATTGAATGTATTGAATTTTTACTTGGCCTCTGTTGATGAATCATTTCCTCCTTTAAATAATAAGGTGACAGGTTACATCATTCAGCATGTTGTTGTTACCTGTTAGAACTGTGTGTGTTTTGCTTTGTCCTTGGTGTTATGGACTGCAAGATGCTAATAGAACCCCCTGACTCTGAGCGCTTATAGAGCCAAGAAGGAAGCCTGCCCAAGCCTGTCTTTATAGATGTGGTAGAGTATTACCATGTTTATCGATTCATTCTATCTGTAATTTTTTTTTCTGAGTGTCTTTTTGAAAAGTTCCTATATTGTTGAAATATCTGCCTTGTTTTTAAAGAAACAAGTATTTTATGCCATTTGGTCTCTTATTGTAGAAATTAATCTTTCGTATCTCTGGTTACCTCTGTTCTCAGTTGTGTTGTGTATATTTATTCTTTCTATTCATACGCTTTGTTTTGTTTTATGTAATATTTCCCTGTATTTAAAATTTTTTAAGCAAATCGCTTCTTTTTCTGTTTATGTCTTAATTACCAAATTCAATAATCTTGGTACTGCCTTTATTATTTAACCTCTGGTGGCAGTGTGTCTGGGCTTATTTAACTGCCTTTTGAGGATGGTTTGGCTCAAGAATTAGCTGAACACTTAATCTTGTTGGTATAGTTCCCTTTGCTCTGTGTTTTTCCTCCTGGTCCCCCTGTGTCAGGGGCAGTATGCCACATCCACTTAATTCCCTAGGAAAAGTTGTCAGTTTACAGCTTTGCTCCACCCCCTCATGCTGTCACTTAACACTTATTGCACAGTCTGTGTATATGGAATGAAGGTTTAAAGTCAGTCTTTCATGGAATCGAGCACACTCAATGGCAGAGATACACGGCCACTCTTTAAAATCAAGTGAAATCATGAGGTAACCTGTCTGGCTTCAATGAGTCTTCCTGAGAAGATGTTGTTTGTGGTGATAGATTTGAAAATAGTATGTGCACTGCTAATCACCGGTTGGTTCTGCTCAGACCAAACTACTCCTTATAATACTCACACTTTCTCTAGTTAGGAGGCTTAGCTAGTGGTGACTGAATTTTCCTGTCTCTTTTCTGTTGAGTCTAGAGGGATGAAGTAGTACTTTCTAGAGTCTAGTCTCTGGGGCTCCATATTTTAAGCCTTGACTTACAAATGACATACTCAAACATACTGTGTAACTGTGAATTAGCAACTTCAGCGGGACTTGGAATCCTAGCACTGTCAAAGCAGAGGCTTTAACATGTAATTGTTTCAACAATTAACAAGCGTTTATCTCTTGCAAGATGCTGCAGTTTTCCAGTGATCATGGTTTCCATACTTAAAACATAACCCAGTGGCAAAGTATTGACTTCTTGATGCACAAAAATTTCAAGCAATGATAATAGTAATAATGTAATAATTGTGTAATCAATTAATTGCTTAAACAATTTAAGAGACTTAATTACCTTTAGTTTTGGTTTTCTTGTCTTCAATAGGGGATGATCATTGGTTGGCTTGAAACATATATGACAAAAATGACACTAGAGACAATTCAAGGACGATATTCAGATTATCATATAAAATGAGTATAATTAATATCTATCAGTACAATCACCCTTTCTCTTAAGTTATATAGCAACAGTGAATGGAATGTCTTGACTTATATGACCCTGTTCTTGACAGTGAGTAAAATCAGTGAGAGCTCCTTTTCGGCAGCTGTACTTTTCCATCCCAGTGATCCACGGGAGGCTATGGTAACAGTCCTCTGTGGTAGAGAAATGGAAATACTCATATGGTTAATAGCTTAGGAAAGCTCTCTACATCCCCTACAAAACAAACATAAGAATCTGTCTCCAGTGGTTGAAAGAAAGAGGAAAACAAGAAAAGCTTAAACCCACAAAGAAAATGAAAGTCATTTGAAACACTTGAAGGGTTCAGTGAGGGAATTGAAGATTCCTCGTCCTTCCTTGTTCAGTCTGAAAAATTCTGTCATCTTAACTGCGGTCCCTAGCCCTACTTATTTCTGATTTTCCCATCTCTAAACAAAGATGCTGCTGTTACCCATGTGAAATACCTTAGGGAAGAAGTAGTTACTCAAACAAGAGTGAGGTGGATCAATTCATACATATACCACTATGCCTATCAACACACTTCCCAATTTTAAGTCTAAGACCCTTACATAGGTTAAAAGGAATATATAATTGGTTGATCTCATATTGTGTATACATATATACATATATATACACACACAGTGTATATGGATTACTGTAATCAAAGCAGTTAACACAGTGTCATCTTCCAAAGCTGTGTATTAGGTTCCTGGAACTTCTTGCACCTTCACATTTGTACTCTTTGACCAACACTTTTCTACTTCCTTACCCACAGCCCCTGGCAGCCACCACTCCAGTACCAGCATCAGCATCTTTTACTTCATCTTCATTTGGTTTCCTGCTCGTGAGAGCAGCAGTAGTTTGTCGAGTCTTGTCTTTTTTTCATATTAGCTCAAGCTCCTCACCTCACTGCAGATTTCTTTTCTTCTTTTTCTCGAATGGCTGGGTAGAGCAGCACTTTATGCGTATTTACCACAGCTCCCTCCTTCATGCATCTGTTGATGGATGCTTGGGTTGTTGCTTCCACGTCTTGTCCATGTCGGAGAAAACATGAAGGTGCAGGAGAATGCAGATAGCTTTTTGCATATACTGATTGCATTTCTGTGGGCATGCCAAGAAATGAGCTGGTAAGCTCAGTAACCTAGAGGAAAGGGACACATGCAGCCGTGCAGAATCCTGAACCACTCTGAACAGAGGACTAATGACTCAGGAGACTGAGTCAGTTCCTTGTTTGTAGGAAGACAGAATTAGTTTCATTAAGCAGCACACAGCTTCCCATCGGTAAGAATAACTAAAGTTTAAGAGAAAAGAAATATTTGGCTCTGGAGGTGGCCATTCTAGCCATTACCTATCACCCCAACATTTGGGGGTGGAGGCAAGGGGGCGCCTAGGTGTGAAGGTCTCCTGAATGGTGTAGACTGTGCAGAAACAGTATGTTTGCATGTTTAAAACCAAAAATACCACAACATCAAAGAAGAAAATGAGGAGGAAGAGGAGGAGAAGGAAAAGGAGGAGGAGGAAAAAGAGGAGGAGGAAAAGGAAAAGGAAAAGGAGAAAGAGGAGGAAGAGGAGAAGGAGGAGGAGGAAGAAGAGGAGGAGAAGGAGGAGGAGGAGGAGGAGGGGGAGGAGAAGAAGAAAAAGGAGAAGGAGAAGAAGAAGGAGAGTTCACCTGCACCCCCCCTTTTTTTTTACCACTAATCTGAATGCATGAAGCTTCTGACAGTAGTCCAACTAACCCAACAATGGGTAGCTGTGGATAAAAAGTCCAAGTATCTAGTAGTTACTCAGTACCACAAAGCTAGTCCCACAAAGCTGGTCTTCTGTATAAGCTGGAATCCTGAAGAAGTAGGTTCCAGCAGATGTGCTGGCAAGTAAATGCAAAAAGTTGAATAGTGAACCTTCCTTCTTCCAATGTCCTTGTGTAGGCCTCCAGCAGAAGGTGTGGCCCAGATGAAAAAGGTGTGTACCATCATGCATGGATCTGGCACTTTCTTTGTCCCAGGCTGACTTTAAACTCAGAGATCATCTTGTTTCAATCTCTTGGGATTAGAGGCATGTAATACCTTGTCTGGCCATAAGATTTTCATGGCCACTATGCCTCAAGATTTTCCTTCTAAAATCCATGTCAGAAACGTGTGTCTTTTAGCTACAAGAACTAGATCACAGGTGTGCCCTCCAATTCTGGATTGTAGTTCATTCCAGCTATAGTCAAGTTGACAACCAGGAATAGTCATTACACCCAGCTTGAGGTTAGTGCTAATCAGAGAGGTACGGCAGACTTGCTTTGTTGCCACTTGGTCTATAACACTCCATTTCCCCTCATGATAACTTAATAGAGAGTCTTCTCCATGTAGAGTCTTCTCTGTTGAGATATATATATATATAAATTATATATAAATAATTTATTATGTATTTTTAGATAGTGCATTTGAAGGAGACAGGGAGCCATAATGACTCAAGTCTATCAATTAAAAATCAAATTCTCGCTGTTCTGACACAATATTATTACAACCTGTCTCAATAGTTTTTTTAAAGACGTCCTTTCAGTTCTCTGAACAAAAATTGATCCATGTTTCTGTTTGTTGAGGGTGTTTTATTTTTAGTAAGTTAGCAGTAGTTGTGCTATAAGAAATTTGCATTCAGATTATCTTTCTCTTATTTTATTTTAATTTTTGGTTTGTGTTTTGAGGCTGGGTCTTACTGTTTAGTCCTGGCTACCCTGGAACTCACAGTCTAGTCCCAGGCTGGCCTCAAACTCATGGAGATCAGCCTGCCTCTGCTTCCCAAGTGCTGATGTTAAGAGGATGTGCCATCAACACCCAGCATATACATGGATACATACATGCATGTATACTTACATATGTGTATGTATATATAGTCCATGTATGTGCATGGGTATGTGCATGTTTGTGTATGTGTGTGCCATGCATGTATGTGGAGTTCAGAGGATAACTTTTAGAAGTCAATTCTCTGCTTAAAACATGTGAATCCTGGGTATTGAATCCAAGTCATCAGTCTTGGGAGCAAAGCCCCTTCTACACTTGGCCATCTTGAAAGTCTGTACTATGGGACAGTTGTTAGTGATTTGGCAGTCTTATAATGCCCTTCAGTCATTAATGGCAAAGGTAGGTAAACCACTGAGTGTTATAACATTATTTTACCGTACTTAAAAATCTGTATTTATTGGAGAAATAGGTACGTTTATATATTTTGTTCCAGAGGTGAACATAGCAAATAAGAAATGTAAGAATTTAAAGTATAATTTAATGTTCAGTGCGTGGTACATTTAGAGAATAATTTATAGGAGATGATTCTGGTGAGACTTAATAGCAGCTTACCTAGCAGCATAAGGAGCCTGCAATTTCAGCAAATGGCTACCTAGAGTTTCCACCCCATCACTTCCTCTGTCTCCTTTCTGTACTGATGTTTTTGGTTTTTGTTTTAGACAGGGTCTCCCCATATGTCCTAGATCGCTTTCTACCGCATTGGTAAACAACATGACCAAAAGCATCTCAGGGAAGAAAAGGTTTATTTGGCTTACATGTTACGATCACAGTCTGGCATTGAGGGAAGTCAGGGCAGAAACTTGAGCAGGAGCAGAGGCAGGAATTGTGAAAGGATGCTGATTACTGCATAGCTCTTATGGCTTTCTCAGATTGCTTTCTTATATAACAGGACCACCTGCCCACACTGGGCTGAGTGATGCACCGCTTTCTGCAATAAATTATCCATCACAAACAGGCCCACAGACAAGTCCACGATGAATCTAATAGAAGTACTCTTTAAATGTGGGCCTCTCTTCCCATATAACTCTAATTTCTACACAGTTGACAAATCTATCCGGTAGACTATGTAAAGACGGCTGTCCTCAAACTTAATGATCCTCTTATGTCAGTCTCCCAACTGTTGGGATTACAAGTGTGTGGCCAATGTGTTTGGTTTTGAGTTAAAGAAAAATCAAATGTCCCTTAGTTATCTCCTCGGTTCTGTACCTTGCCTTTTGAAATAGACATTGATGTTGGGCAGACTGCTATCCTGTGAGATGAGCCAAACAGCTACATACCAATGATCAGTTCCTTTAGGCTGTATTAGAAGTGTTTGAGGAGCCAGGCCTGGTAGAGTCCTTAAGAAACAGGCAGGAGGATGCTACTTTAAAGGCTAGCTAGGGAGACTGTCTTAAACCCTTCCCAGAAACAGAAGGAAAACATATCTTTGAATACTTTCTATCTAAAATCTGTACTTTTGTGAGAAGCTATGGGCACCTTTGAAAAGGCCATAATTTCATGCCTAATTTATCCCAAAGACAGCATTTGATTCCTTTTCCTTGAAGTTAATGAGAACAGCATATGCCCTTAATGAGAATTGGATTAAAGTGATGAAGGTATATGTCTGTTGCTTTTATAGAGGACATACACTGATTATCCCGCGTCTCTCATATTTACTTGCAGACAATACATATGTGTCAAGTTCAGAAAATGATGAGGATGTACTAGTCACTACAGACCCGATTCCAGTCATTTTCCATAGAATAGCAACAGGTAACACTAATGCTATAGTTTTCTTATCTTAGTTTAAGTTTTTATAATTGTTGTTGCTTAGATGCTTTTTGTTTTCAATATAGCAAATATATATATATTTACCTCCCAGAAATTCATATATATATGTATATATGTATATATGTATATATGTATATATGTATATATGTATATATATGCATATGTATATAATTTTCAAATCTAAAGTATATTAGCTTTTCAATAATGTTTAAATGTGTCATGTCAGTATTACTCCTGAAAGTATTTTCATCCACAGTGACACCATTAAACAGACTGAATATAGCAGCTGTTCTCAACCAGTGGGTCATGACCTCTTTGGGAGATTAAAATGACCCTGTCACAGGAGTCGTATATTAGATATCCTGCTTATCATCTGATTATGCTTATCTTATGATTCATAACAGCAACAAAATACAGTCATGCTGTAGCAACAATATACTTTCATGGTTGAGGGTCAGTTGAGATCCATTGGAATAAAGAAAACCTAGGGCAGTCAAACTATCTTAAAGTGAGTAGTAAGAGTTGAAGAAGTCTCTGTGTTTTCACTTTAGGTGGTTAACATTTATAAACACAGTGAAACACCAGAAGCTCCTGTGTGATCTATCTTCAAAATATCTCTTCTTTCACAAGGTGGGGGGGGATCCTAGAACATTTTTGTCTAGGAACTCATGAATGTTGTTACTTGTTAATAAAATGCTAAGATCCAAAGTAATTTAAAAAAATTCTTTCTTGCAGAGTTAAGAAAAACAAATGATATTAACTGTTGTTTGTCCATAAGATCTAAATTACAAAAGGAAAATGGGGAGGTATGTATATTTTATTCATCCTTTTTATTTTGATAGTGTTTTAACCAGGGATTTGTATTTATTATCATATTTAATTTACAGTTGTGTATGGTGAATAAAACACTGAATTATGACATTTTGTGTGGTGTTAAGATAAACCTGAGGAAGAATTGTCTGCTAAATTAATAGAAAAGAACCTAAATAAATAAAATATACATGCCATGTATTCTTTATTCTTCATATATAGCAATGTAACTGACAGAGAAACACCCATTTGCCTTATATTAAAAGCATACCTGGCTGTATATAGTTTTGATGAAATGTGTGGTCTTTGAAGACAAAATAACATAGACAGGAATAGTTATATTCCAGTGATTTTTATCTATTTTGAAAAACTTAGGACAAATTTGTCTCTTTCTTTCTTTCTTCCTTCCTTCCTTCCTTCCTTCCTTCCTTCCTTCCTTCCTTCCTTCCTTTCTTTCTTTCTTTCTTTCTTTCTTTCTTTCTTTCTTTCTTCCTTTCTCCCTTTTACTGTGATCTGTGAATATCTGTCAGGGCATTAAACAGAGAAAGCACAATGACACAACATTTTCTCAGTTGAAAGTTATGCTTGCGCGCTTTCTTGCTTGCTTGTTAGTAGTGTCCTACCATACTTTGGAGTTTCCCTTCATTGTCCACGTGAAAGTTACTGCTTCAGTAAAGCTGTCATTGATCTAGAGTGCTGCTTGGTTTCCTAAACAACTTGAAATTTAGGCTCGATTAGCAACACTGAGGGATGGAGTTCCAAAGGAAGTGCTGAATTTTTCTTTTTCCTTTTTCCTTTCCTCTTCCTCTTCTTCCTCTTTCTTTTCCCTCTCCTCCTCCTCTTTTTTCTTTCCTCCTTCTCCTCTTCTTCTTCTCTTCTTCCTCCTCCTCCTCTTCCCCATTAAAAAACTTTGCTAATCATGACAGGGATAGAAATACAAATGTGAATTTTCATTGTACTTGAGATATATGACAGATGTTTGGCTTAGTTAATTAAAAACTCAGACATCAAGTTAAAGCACATTAAATTAAACACTATTTCAAAATTTGAATTTCTAAGCAAATCATTCCTGTATATCAAAAGTTCTGTTTGTATTATGATTCATATTTAGTTGCATAATTTAATTTTTTTATATCATTGCATTCCAAGTTTCCTCTTTCATATTGTTGCTTTGTGTTGGCAGTGGAAGTGCAAATCATCTTGGATATATAATGCAGATGAAATTTTAAATACGCGCTGAATTAGTGGGAGCCCCTGAAAGACTGTATCAGAGAAGAGGTGCAAGCATAATTTATTGTTCTCAGTTTTTAATGCACACCAAATGTGACCCTGCAAGTCTTAGCATCTGGCACTTTAGGAAAGGTTTATTCTCAGTAAACTTCTCGAAATGAACTAAGCTTGTCTGCAGTGTTACCTCTGTTGTTCCTTTTTTTTCTGTTGTGTTGACGTTGTACTGTACCAACAGTGTATTAAACGTAAAGCCCACTCAGTATGCCTGGACTTGTCTATTTTGGTTTCTTTTTTAGTTTGACCACAGGAATTCTCTTCTTTGTCATTTGAAGGAGTCAAGGCAGAATAGTACGGTGGAAGAAGACTCAGAGGGTGACAACGACTCTGAAGAATTTTATTATGGAGGACAGGTAAAGCAGCCTTGCCTTCCAATGCAGCCATGTTTGTTCTAGTGGGAGATGAGAGCCCACAAGTCATGCAGGTTCAGTATGGAAGTAGAAAACATGAGTCATTTGTTTTTCACTTTCCACACACTTTCAATTCAGATTTACATTACAGGTCTTTGTACTGGAATAGTGCGAAGAATAGTTACAGAGGTTTCGGAGTTCGGTTTGGATTATTATTTGGCCTTTCAAGTTGTTTCTTTATTATTGAAGTTTGGTTAGCATGCAAGGAAATGGGTTTTACTTGGACATTCTCACACGTAGCCATTCTACTCTGTTTTATTCACCCCCGTCCCTCCTTCTGATCTTCTTCCTCCCTCCAGTAGTCCCTCTTTACCTTCATCAGACTGTGAACATTCCATTGCTTCTTCCTGTTCCTCTTGCTTCACTCTGGCTAGGTCCCCTTCCTTTCCTCTCAGTGACTTTCAGCAACCCCACACATACCTAGAGTTTACAGAGTGAAAACAGATGTGCTTTGTCTTCCTCATAGATGTAACAAGAAATATTTTTAAATATTGTCCTTTCTAACAAAAGCATCGATTGTTACTTTTAAACTGAAGATGGTTAATTTTTACAAATTTTGATTGGCAGTAATTTTCTTGAGAAGTATTTGTTTCTTGGTGAAAGTATATGAAGAAGATTTTTACATCTGCATAAATAGCATGCCTATGTATATGTTACACATAACATTCTTTCAGAATAATGTTAAATTTTAAAATCAGGCAGGTTATTTTAAGGTACAACCATATAATATGTTGCTAGGTGTCTGTGACTTCCTTGATCAAATGCCTTGGTAGTTTGTGTCAGTGAGGGAAGTATAATATGATAAAGTAGGCCTTTAAAGATAAAGTTAGTGTGGAAAAGAATTAATATGTCTTATATTCAAAATAAAAATCAGTACTTGCTAAATCAAACATGCACAAGGCAATAGAAACATCAGTGTGGGTAAAGTAGGCGTAACCTCTATGGAGTAACTTTCTAGATGTTGGGCAGTTGCCTAATACAGTCTCTCCCTACACATCACAGCATGTTATTTGTCTTAGTTAGGGCTTTACTGCTGTGAACAGATACCATGACCAAGGCAAGTCTTATATAAAGGATAACATTTAATTGAGGCTGGCTTACAAGTGTAGAATTTCAGTCCGTTATCATCAAGGTGGGAGCATGGCAGCATCCAGGCAGGCATGGCGCAGGAGGAGCTGAGAGTTCTACATCTTCATCTGAAGGCCTGTAGCAGAAGACTGGCTTCCAGGTAGATAGGATGAGGATCGTAAAGCCCACGCCCACAGTGAGACACCTACAGCCACAGGGCCACACCTTCTAATAGTGCCACTCCCTGGGCTAAGCATATACCAACCATAACATTACCAGTATGCAAAAGAGGCCTTCTAAGTCTGATTTTTCTTTATACTACTCATTCTTTCAGAGTGGAATTTAGTGCTTTTCTTCAGTCCAGATTAAGTTTCCAGAATATCTGCCAGTCATTCATCCCCTTTTAGCATTTGCATTTTTTCAGAAAATCATTTTTAAAAATGAAAGGTAGATCACTAATAGCATTGGAAGGAGAAAGAGGGTATCTTCTAGGATGTAACTGTGTAGCATAAGTACAAAGGAAGAACCCAGTCCCTTCATCTTTGCTATTGGAAGGCATGATGTACTGGAGTATCCCATCATGCACACGTATGTTTGATTTACCTGATGTACATTGGAACAGTACTCATAAGTCACACTGAGTAGAAATGAATGTCATATAAAGGATTACTTCAGAGTACAGTAAATAGCTCAGAATAAGAGAAATGAAGAGGGGAGAACACTGTCAGTCGTGCAGTGTTCAAGTGTGCCATGGCTCCTTCAATGCCACATGGTGCCCTTTAAGATTTCTTTTCAAATTGAGCATGACAGCAAGAGGCAAAAGACTAGATTTAAGAAAGATAAGTAGAAGAAACAGATTAAGAAAGACATCCCAAATAGGCTTTTCAATGTAATGAATCACCTCTTGGGTGCCATGATAGAACTGGCCCTATGGTTCACCAACTTTAGGATTCTAGACGTCTTCTTGAGTCCAAGAGGCTTCTCATTTACCAAGCACACTCTTCTGGAGTTGGTATCAAAGATATGTACCTTGATCTTCTGCTTACTACTTACATAGCAGAACCAAAAGGAAGGTAAATACTGATTTGGCTCATGGTGTGTATGGAAGAAACAGAAAAGTTGTGAAAAGTAAAAAGCTTGTGTTCCTATTGAAATCTGCATACTAATACTCTACGTTAATGAATGGATAACTAGTTCTAACTCTGTATACATAAGGATAGCCGAGAAGCATGACATTCTCAGTAGATATACACATACCCATAATACCAATATGTATGTATATAAAATCAATGAATTAAAAAGAGAACTGTAATTGTAGTGAGGATCTTGCTGAAGTAAATTTAAAAGGCCTAATGTTAATTTAAAGCAATGAACTATCCTAGCCATGTGTGAATAGAAGAACTTTGTGTAGATGCTATTGCCCTTTAACGCCCGGAACCCTTTGTACAGATTGTTTGCATCTTGGTTCTGTTGACTCTCTTTACTTAGTCCTGAACTGTCCTCTCTGGCAGGTGAACTACGACGGGGAGCTCCACAAGCACCCTCAGCTAGAAGCTGACCTGTCTGCAGTGAGAGAGCTCTACGGACCACACGCAGTTTCTCTCAGGTAAATGGCTTCTGTGCTTCACCTTGCATAAGCCAGTGGGATTTTCTATTAGAGTAACCTTAACAGAAAATTCTTTTCAGTCATCATGTTTGGAAATGTTTGACGAGTTCTAATGTGTCTTTCATGATGGAAAAGAACAGCTTTATGGCTTTTTGTTATGTATTATTAGTTAGATTAGCTGCATTAGAGAAATAATTCATTTTGAGGATTAGTTTGCAAAAAGATACAGACTCTAAAAGCTATGGACATAGACCTGTGATTTCAGCACTTGGAAAGCTGAACCAGGAGGATTACCAGTCTGGGGTGATTTGGGGCTATATAGCAAGGCCCTTTCTCAAAAGAAAAAAGAAAGAAAGAAAAGCAAAGCAAAAGTGACATAATTATTTACTACATTAGATGGTTCTGGTTCTGTACTTCTGGCTACATCATTGTAAACAATGAAAGTAAATAATGCAGAAATACTGGTACCCAAGTCATGTGACAACTGAAGGCAGAGGTGGGAGACTTAATACATGATAGTTTGAATGACAGCGTATTTTAGTCTGTTACTAGCTATACTCTGGTTATAAAGTTCCTAGCTACTTTTTATTATATTTAATTCTTTGGAAGATCTTCCATTCTTATTCTGTTTTCTATTTAGTATAAGACAACATTTGTGTCCCTACACTGGCATCTACACGTCAGGCTGTCTTATTTTAGAGACTCGTTCTTTGCATCTTTGCATACATACAGTGTACTTTCTAAGTCTTCATGGAATTCTAGGTTCCTTTCCTGACCTCAGTTCCAGACCTAACTACCAAACTCCCCTGCTGGGCCAGGTTGCCCCAGGACTCAAAGCACTTGTACAAGTTACTCTCTGGTCAAGGAGCACTCTCTGCACACCCTACTGTGAATGTCAGCTGCTTGAGCCCTCCTCAGATCTGTGAATGGACAGCTTGGTCTGTATTCTGTGCACCCAGCATTTAGTTTTTGACTCCTGAGTATATTATTTCTGTTGTGTTATTAATAATCTACTGACTGGAGAGATTTGTAATAGATACAGCAGTGCCTTTTGTTTATTTGTCGTATCTTGTTTTGATTTGCTTTTTAAATCATTATCCTGGTACTTAACATGGTATGGGGATGTTGTACAAACTAGAGGATTCATGGTGGATTTTTAACTGTAGGTAGTGGCAGCATCTGAAAAACGACAAAAGGATACATTCTCTAGTTATCTCTCAACCTCTTCAGTGGACACATATGTAATTTGAGAAGGTGAACAAATATTTTTACTTGGGAACTCAACACAGCAGTAATTTCTAATGGTCAAATAAGTGAGCCTAATACATGAGCCTTGTGTTCCCAAAGTGTCTCTCTCACTTTTGGAGATACGTAAGATACATACAATTATCCTTGGTAAATGAAGCTTTTCCAGACTTTTAAAATTTTATCCAAGTACTTATGATCATTCCAGAATTGGTCTATGGTATGGTAAATACTCTGGACATTCAGCATCGCAGAGTGAATGCATGTGGCTAGTGTAGGAGCTACCAGTCAGTTATCCAAAACCATGGCTCCTGTTTTCTATGATAGTGGAACTTCTCTTGAAAATGTAAAACTTTAATTTTATATACAATGATCGCCATACTAGAAGGCTCTGAAGTATAAATACGATTCATCCTAGAATTCAGCTTCCCATCTTCCTCTCAGAACATACATCGTCCCTTAGAGAATTGCTTTAGTAGACGCCTTTTAGTTTAGAGTTTCCTAAAATACATTTTCATATTTTCTGAGCTGTCACGTGGCTGTGAAAAGTTTGTGTCCTCACCACGTATTTATTAGGCCAGTCTGGTTATCCCTGCGAGTATTTTCTATCAGTAACAGTGTTATTGACAAGGATGATATGTTGTAACTCTTATAAGTGCTTGGAGTTCCAACCAAATGAAATTCTTAAAAGTCATAAATGACTTGATTTTTTTTTTCTCCTGGTCTATTTCTCTTATAACAGTTTTGATCCCACTTAAATCTCAGTACAAGCCACGTTCTTGCCTTGTCTCGATTTTTTTCTAGGTATAAAGGATGATTGCAGAATAAATAACCCCTCTAAGTCTCACGATATGAAACAAACACACAGCAAAACTTGTTTGATTTACTTTAAGTAAATAAAAGTGAATTTACAGCTTACTCTAGTCCTTAGACACACTGAGAAATGGGCATTTAGGCAGAAGGCATTGGAATCTTCCTTGCAGAGTTCTAAGTCTATTGAAAGCAGATTGTTCTAATTAGCTGTTCTTTTACTTAATTGAGACGCATAAGAACTTAATGGAGTTTGAAAAGCAAAAGTACCTTAATATGCACAATAGACTATTTGGTGCCTTTCTTTTTTCTTTCTTCTTCTTCTTCTTCTTTTTTTTTAATGTGACATCTAATGAGAAAGGCAGCTAACCACATCTGAGTTCCTTATTAGAGATAGAAATAGCTGATTGCCCAGGTTGAAGCAAATCCCTTTTAAATGGGGCAAAACGTAGATATAGAAAAAGTAATTGATAAGAGATTTATTACTAAAATTAACAATAGAAGCTCAGTCTGTCCTTACATCAAGATCAAGGTAGTGGCCACAAGGAGCTATGTGTTTAAGAATTGAGGATGACTTTGATGCAGTCTTGTGAATGGGAAGTGAGTTGGAGCCTGCAAGTTACATATCTGGTGGTCAGACTAAATGGGTTTCATCTTGAGTCATGTAGCAGGATGTACTTGTGTGTGTTTCACATTGTAAATGTAGTTCTCCAGTCATGTGTTCCTAAAATAGTGTAGATAAGCATCATTTGAAAACAATTTGAGATGAGTAATCTTAGAAATGGAAGGAAATATCTCATTGCCCTGGAGAAGAGATGATTTTGGTAGTCCCCTTATGAAATATCAAACGTCAATCCCAGATAACTGATCCTTTGTTTAGGACAATGACATCTTCTATTGAAAAAAAATGGGCATTGTCCCCATGCATAATCAGCCTTTCATTGTAGGTAATGCCTGACGCATTGTGGATGCTTCTAGGTTCTTGGGGGTTGTACATTTTAATCTCCTTTTACCAAGAGGCTACTGTGATAAGCTATTCTGATTTGATATTGAAGAACCAGAGTATTCTAAGGATTTGACAGTTGGAGGAACCAATGGACAGCACTAGACTGATACCACCATACTGTTACCTTCTAAAAGAAAAGAAAAAAAATATAGAAAAGGAAGTTAAAAAAATATGGCATAACTCAAGATGTCCACTTCGTTCTTCTGGTCCTCTAACCTTCTGTTTACCTTGTTTGTAGGAACTGCTTCCTTTTCTTTAGCATCTTCTCTTCCTGCCACATGACTAGATTGTCTTTGCCTGACACCTTTGGTCCTTGGCATAGACATACAGTAGTTCTCGCCAATGAATTATGTATAGATACACAGGAGAATGAGGCTCTGTGTCTTCTGGACTTTGTCCCCCTGGGCACTTCAGTGATGATGATGACTACCCCAGTTCCATGCTGGGTGAGGTATTAAATCATTAGCATTGGGCCATTGAGGTCTTAAATGTTTTCTTCACCACATAATCTAACCTACATATAAGGCTGTGATTCAGCGAAGAAAGATCTCAACCTGCAGGTTTATTCCTATCTTACATATTGATTCTCCACACTTTGGATTGAGGACATAAAACTAAAAAATCTCTAAGTGAAAAATCTGAGAAAGAATGAGAGAATGTTCACAGTGCAAAGACACCAAAGAGGGGACTGTTTTCCAGAGGCACAAATGGGAATGAGATGTAAACTTCAGTAGCTCAGATCCTGCACGCTTGCCTCTGCTCCCAAAGCCTGGACTTTGTTCAAGCAAAACCAAGGGCTTTTTGTAAAGATGACCACAAAATCAGAGCTACTTTCTGTTTTTTTTTCATCTTGTGAATGCACTACTGTGCCAAAGAAGTTCATATTTCTCTCACATCTGCATCTAAAGTCTTTTCAGCTTGTCTTTTAGAGAAGTTTATAGCTGCATTGGACAGCAGTCTTAGAAAGTCTTTCATTTTGTCAGGATTTCTTTCCAATGGCTAAGTGAGCCATTTCTTGGCCCATTCACAAACATCTCTCCAACACTGGGCAGAAACACACACTGAGATAGACATGCAGAGATAGACATGCACGCTATGGAGTTCCAGATGCCACAGGAAGGTGTGTGTTTCTTCCTAAGTCTCTTCTCAAAGCTGCACTGCCCCTTGGTTGAAAGCAGAAACAATTAAACAGTAAACATTACTCAAGAACCAGTGGTAGAATTGTGTATATAAAAATATATAGTTTTTTACAGTTAATAAGTGAAACTCAGATATCTAAAATGTTTTTATAATAAACATGTTCACAGATAATTTGAATCAAGTTGTTGTAACTATTGCAATAGTGTAATTAAGAAACTGGGGTTTATGGAGAAAAGAAAGCCAGCATACTCTAATATTCAATATATTGTACACATTAAGTATATGTTAGCATATATTTGAATGTCTTGTGAGCATTTCTTTTCTTGGGGGGAGCTTATTTCTGCTTACACTTTATATTTCATGATTGAATGCTGCCAGAACAGAAATTCAAGGAAGGAGCGGAGAGGCAGGAACTGATACTGAAGACATGGAGCTCTCTGCCTTCCTCTCCAAGGCTTGCCATGTGCCTCCCTCCCTCCCTCCTTTCCTTCCTTCCCTCCTTCCCTCCCTCCCTTCCTTCCCTCCCTCCCTCCCTCCATCCTTTTCTCCCTCCCTCCCTCCTTTCTTCTCTCCCTTCCTCCCTCCATCCCTCCCTCCCTCTGTCCTTCCCTCCTTTCCTCCCTCCCTCCCTCCTTCCCTCACTTCCCCTCTATTGTTGAGACCTGCAGAAAGTTGTTCAGGCACTGCAGAGGTCTTGATAACTGGGTCATTCTATCTGGACAAACTGTAATCATGCTTAGAGTTTCACAGTGGAAACATGAAATTACTAGCATTATGTAAAAAGGGCACCAGCACAGAAACGATTGCACATGCATAGTGCCATTTGTGAACTCTGAATTACGGCATGCAAACACACAACAGTGTACCCATTTTCAGAGATGTGCCTCCACAGCTGCTGCTAGTCGCCTTCTTAAGGGTGTGCGCTAGTATTCTTCCACGGCCACGCAGAATGCCTGTACCATCTCACTTCCTTTAAAAAAATCAGTGTCATAAACAGAGAAGAAACTATGTTTTGACTTAAACTTTAAGAAATAATACATGTAATAATAATTATCTCAATTGTCATAATGAGTGGTTTTAAAATTAAGCATGCCACCTGCTGCTCAGTCTTTTCTATTGGATTCTTTAAGCTACTTACAGAGAGTCTTCTGTGGATTAGGATTTTGTGTATGTCTGTATTTTTCCTCCCTGATTCTCAACCACAGTCTTCAAGCTAAGACAAACTCAGATATTCTACTAATGGAATTGCAAGGGGAGAGGCAGAGGAGGCGTGGCAGTGAAGAAGAAAAGGGAAGTAATAACCTTGATAGATTGGCCATTGTGATTGCAAGTAGTTCTAATCCATTAAATGTTGAGAGTCTCAAATAAGTCATTCCATGCATTTGACTTCATAATCACAGAAATTATTGTTATGAGAACACAGGTATGTGGAAATTTCTTTCCGAGGAAACACTCTGTCTGTATTTATGGCACAAAAGAATCAAATGCATCCAAGTGTTTTATTTGTTTTACAGTTGCTAGACTTTAATTACAACCATTTAAATGTATGATTTTGAAGAACAACACAGCATGCACTAATCATATTGAAGAAGAGAGATAACAAGAAAACGTCTTTATATGCCATATATGAAGATTAGAGGGAGGTTCAAGCAAAAATAGTGACATCTGGTGTCTTAGGTAGGGTTTCCATTGCTGTGACTAAGCACCTGTCTTAGGTAGGGTTTCCATTGCTATGACTAAGCACCTGTCTTAGGTAGGGTTTCTATTGCTATGACCAAGCACCAAGACCATAAAACAAGTTGGGGAGGAAAGGGTTTATTTGGCTTACACGACAATATCACCGTTCATCATTTAAGTGGGTCAGGACAGGAACTCAAGCAGGGCAGGATCTAGGAGGCAGGAGCTGTTACAGAGGCCATGAAGGAGTGCTGCGATCTGGCTTGCTACTGCTAGTTTGCTCAGCCCTTTCTTACAGAACCCAGGATCACCAACCCAAGGATGGCACCACCCTCAATGGGCTGGGCCATACCCCATTAATTACTATGAAACTGCCCTGCAGCTGGGTCTTACAGAATTATTTTTCTCAATTGAGGTTCCCTCCTTTCAGATAACTCTAGTTTGTGTGTCAAGTTAATATAAGATAGCCAACACATCTGTTCAGGTGTGGTGACACATACCTGTCATCTTACACTTAGGAAGCTGAATCAGGAGAGCTATGTGTTCAAAACCAACCTGGCCAGGTAGTGAGAGCCTATCTGTCAAGAAGAATATTCTCTGATGATGCGGAGTTAATTTTGTACATTTTACCTATTTCTAATATATGATAGGAACACCTTTCTGAATACTGGCTAGGTATGTATTTTTATAAGATGTATACCTATCTAAATAAAATGATCTTAAAATGGACACTGTTTTCAAACAAACAGTCTTTCATCCCTGTGAGGGTAAGGTAGAGATCTTCTAGACATAATCTTTACTGAACTTTGCAGAAAACCATGAACACTAAGATGATGTAAGAAAAGTAGAAATGAGGCAATCAAAAAAGTAGGATATCTATTTTTCATTATTTAATACATTTCATCGTTTGCGTGCGTGCGTGCATGCGTGCGTGTGTGTCTGTGTATATGTGGCACAGGACATTGGCCTGTGGACATTTGCCTGTGGAGGTATAAGGGTCACCTTGGAGGTGTTGATTTCTTTCCTTCCACCCCATGGATCTGAGGGATCAAACTCATGTTAGGCTTGGTGGCAAGGATCTTCATCCACTAAGCTGGCTGTATAAGCTGACAGCTCACATCTCAAACCACAAACAAGAGAGAGAGAGAGAGAGAGAGAGAGAGAGAGAGAGAGAGAGAGAGAGAGAGAGAGAGAATTTGAAATATCATTAAACGAAGTCTAATACCTCCAGTGATGTACTTCTTCCCACAAGGTCATACCTCCTAAGCCTTCCCAAACAGCACAGCCAAGTGGGGACCATGTATTCCCTACAGCAATAGTCCTCAAGCTTCCTAATCCTGTAGCCTTTAACACAGTTCCTCATCTCATGTTTTGGTGACCCTCAATCATAAAATTAACGTTTTGCTACTACTTCATGACTATAATTTTCTAAGTTATTAATCATAATGTAAATATCAGTGCTGTGACTCCCCCAAGTTGAGAACCACTGTGCTAGACTATGGGGGATATCGCCTTCAACCCGACACACTTGTAACTGCGTTGAATGGCTTTTTACACATGTAACTTGGCATCTGTGATATTCATGAACCATGCCTGTGCTCATGGTCATTAAATTATGACCATTGAATCTGTTTCTAATACCCAATTAAGTACAAATAGATTTTGCTTGTTCAAAGTAGTTGCAGAAAAGAAGTAGAAGAAACAAAATGAAGTGTTTAGAAAAGAATGGCTGCCCCGAACATTCGTAACATACTTATTTTCTTGGTCATCAGAGAAAAATTTCTTTACCCAGAACTTAGAGGCATGAAGAAAATTTATTTATTTGATCTTTATTTTTGTCATGTTTGGTGTATAATTTCACATAAAATATGCAACATTTTTTGTGAAGAACATGTTATGATGTTGTTTTAAAAAGTCCATTTTGTGTCAATAATTAGTTCTCAAAATATTAGCATGAAAAACTTGAAATATATTCCCTAAGAAATTAAAAAAAAATGTGCTCCATGATAAAACATATTTTTAAGGAGAAATGTTAAGAAGTTAAATTATTATATTTACTTTTATACCTCTTTGGTTATGAAAACAAAAATTACCAAAGGCTCCTGTTCAGTTCTTTTATTTATTAAGCTATACATATTATGTAAATTAAATCATATGATCATTCATAAATTTTGTACTCAGGAGCCTGTAAACATGCCACAGTCATATACTGTATTTGCATTCTTAGTGTGTATAATACACAACAATTGTATTGAGTGCCTGCTCTGTGTTCGACATACTACACACAGGTTTGCATTTGAGTATGTGTTGATAGACTCCATTGACTTGTTGTTTGACAGCCTCATATATTCATCTAATAAATTTTAGTTATTTCCATTCTCTTTCTTCATTTCATCCCTCTTCCACTAGAACCGATCAACAGGTACCCCTCCTGCATTGGTGTCTTTGTGCATGTGGCCACTGCATCCAGTAAGACTTACTGGCCCGAGTGTAGGTGGGAGGTAATATAATGTAACCCCATTAACTTTGCAGTTTTCCACTCCACAACTTTTTCACTTACCTGTTTATCAATTTCTTCACTACTATTAATGTTAAACCGTTTACTTCACAAGGACCTGATGGTATTGTCCATTGATCTTTAAACTATTCATTATAAAGTGAAGTAAAGTGGCGGTTATTGACTACTGGGCCAGTTTAATGCTTGTATAAATGACTGACAAATACTGCTATTCTAGTACCAGTGTTGGCACAGAGCTGTAATGTGTTGTTACTTCATAAGACTACAGTGAAAATAGTAAGTAATAGTGTCTGTAATATTTCTGGAGCCTCCTCTTTATCTCTACCTGGACTCTCTCTCTTCTTCCTCCTTCCTACCCTTTCTTTCTCATATAGTCCAGGGTTTCAGTATTAGTTGTAGTTTCATGTATGCTTAGTAAACAGTCTCCAGGTTTACCTGTATCTCCAGCCCTTGCCTCGTGGACGTTAAATCATCACATGTATATAAAATGCTGAGGACATTTTCTGCCAGTTATGAGCTAGATTTAGGTATTGTATATTCATTCTATGATTTTGGTTATTTCCATATTTTATCCCTGATTCTCTATCCTATTTCATAACTTCAGAATAATTGTATGAACATATAAACATGTAGACACATATGTGAAGAATATTAAAACTTTTATTTTTCATTTTCAAACTGAGTCACAGTCGCCTCCCCCAAGCGATTGCTCCAGTATCATCAACCAACCAAAGGAAAATTTAATTTCATTAAATTAAAAACTATACTGTACAAAAGATGGTTTCTAAAGTGCCTTCCTATGACCCAGGGATACAGCTCACGGGCAGAGTGCTGGATTAGCATATGCATAATACAGAAGGGGAACAAGACAGTCCCACACTGGATTAGCTGTGATGGCTCCATGTGGGCCACCCTGTCACTACTGAGTTGCATGTCACCGTGTCAGACTCAGGGCTACCAATACTCTTAATACATTGCGGTGGGAGTAACAACACCTGGCCAGTTTCCAAGCCACCCATGTTCGAGGCAGAAGAAGAATCCATTACCATTTTAATGTGTGTCCCCCTTGCCTACTTATAGCAGATACTGCTTTCTTGCAGTTAAGATCAGTTCCTTTTCCTCTGAGTGGTTGGTGATACTGGAGTAGTCGCATAGGGGAAGCTGCTGTGACTCAGGGAACTGGGACTATTTGGTACCATGAACCAAGCAACTCTTGAATTTATGTGTGCATGTGTGTATGTGTGTGTGTGTGTGTTCTGTAGTATAAATAGGCCTAAAATAGGAGTAAACTGAATTAGTTTACTCATATCCAAGGTCATTTCTGATCTTAAAAGTCAGCAATCAAAATTCATGACTACACTTTTAATTAAAATAACCAATCACGTGCAAACTATTAAGGAAAATGAAAACATTCACGTTACTCTTTGCTTTCAGGGAATATGGAGCTATCGATGATGTGGATATCGATCTGCACATTGATGTCAGCTTTCTGGATGTAAGTATCAGTTTCTGTAAAGTGACTGGCACATTTCATGTACATTTATCTTTATTGAAAGGAACTCAGTTTTGGATTATTTTATAGCACCATTCCATACTTCTGCTGTTAAAGTGATTTATGAAGACTGATCAATGAAGCTGAGATAATATTTCTTTCTCATTGTTTTTCCATATATCAGAAAATGTCTGTTTTAATTATAGCACTTAATTATATAAGTTCTCATTTTTAATGTCATACATAAAGGCAAAAGAATGACTGCTTTGGCCTTCTTTTCACAAAATACTCTTTTATTTTTGAAATAATTTGTAGACCTATATAATGAATGTATTCCATTAACCTAAGTTTAAGTTCTGTGTATTAATTTATTTTTTTATTTTGAGGTCTAACAGAAAACAAACTAACTCTTTGAATATGTTTGTGCAGGAGGAGATTGCTGTGGCCTGGGAAGTGATTCGCACAGAACCCATCATTGTTCGACTCCACTGTTCTCTTACACAGTATTTAAATGGCCCAGGTTAGTCTTATTTCTCTGTTGTTTGGAAGACTATGCACTGTGCAACAGGAATGTTTATTTGATAATTCTGAATGTGTGAAGCATCTTGATAACTGAGTGGGCTCTGTGCTAAGCAAGATGATTTATTACCTATATAATTATGGAAATTTCATAGATAATGCTGAACTGAAGAGACTTGAACAGTTTCTGTAAGACAAAAAGAAACCTCAGAGATTTAGAGCACAGTTGTGGCTCCTGACAGATATGTTGGACTGACCTTAAACTTGGTTATTGCATTTCCCTGTTTATCCCACCCATGACTCCCAGAGAATTTACTTAGAAAACCATAGCAAGTGGAGGTCATGGAAGCACGTTTGCTCTTTGGATTCCTATGGGACAGTGCTGTTCTATTCAACTGATGGTTATTAAAAGCAAGGTATTCTACTATAAGCAAATTTTTCCCAAATGCATCAGAGGGCTAAAATGTGTTCTGACAAGTGATGATACACACACACACACACACACACACACACACACACACACCACTCACATCATACTCCAATTTCATCTGCTTATATTAAACTAGTTACTTACTACTGTAGTCATCCCAAGACTTTGCTCCTCATGGGCTGTTGTTGGGTTCACTTAGGGTTGGCTGCAGTGCACCCCACCCTATTGGTTTTCAGTCATGTGGGATATGAAGCTGGAGGGCTTAAATGTCTCACTAAGTTGGAAACAAATCATGGTGCTTTGATGGCTAACCGTTGATCCAGGGATTAGTTGGCCTGCACCAATGTTGGTGACTAGAGTCTGCCTCACATTTGACATGTCCAGGTCTTTGGGCTTCTTTTACCATGATGGACAAGGTCCAAAAAGCATGTTTCTTGATTCAAGGTGTGCCTGCTTAATTTTATCCTGACAGTGGTTCAAAGACAATGGGTTCTTTGGTCTGATCTTTTAAAAAACATAATTTCACTGAAGCACCAGCTTTGTGAGACAAGATGAAGGGTGTGTCCATATAATCCTACCACATGTATTGGTAACAAACAACTCTAATATAACTCTATTATTGTCTTTCATATTATGTATCATTTCTGTCATTCTTTTATTTCTCATAGCCAAGGACTTGGGCTTTTTTGCCAGTCTGTCATCCACTACACCCATTGATTTAGTTTATAACTCAGTGTTTGGACTGAATGACCACACTGAATATTCATTTTGTCTGTCTTCTTTACTCACCCCATAGTATATATACCCTATGGACCATCTGGGGTTTTGTTTTGATTTTTTTATCTAGTCCATATTATTTTGAATGTTAACTGGGATCATCAGGCAATGATTGTCCAAGATTAGTCTTCTTAGCTGCGATTCTTCAGTTTGTCCAGCAAGAGCTGAAATGCTCGTCACAACTTAGTGTGTTTTGTAAGTTTTTTTTTTCTTTCCCAATAAGCATTGGAAAGGAAAACAGTGCCATAGTGACTTATATCCTGGAGTTCTGACAGCTGGAGAGCTGGGCTGTAAATTGTTTGCCACCACATCCTGATCCCTTGACACCCTTTACCAGCCTTGTTACCCCATCCTTACATCATCCCCCCAGCCCTGCACAGTTTTTGCTACTTGCTCACAGACCCTAAGTAGACTGTACTAAGACAGTCTCCTTCCGTACATACGTGCCCCACAACCCCACAATTTGGATATGACTCGCATGAGAACAGTGGCCTACATGAACCCTGAGATGTAATCCATGCTTACATCCTACCAACAGGACAGTGCCGAAGGGCAGACACCTCATTTTGTGCCCCTACTGGGATGTTGTTCTCGTTCAGTCATCTTCTTTGCCTTGTTTACTGGGTATACCGGGGTCTCCTGAGAGTAAGCCTTAATAAGTATTTGCCCCACATCCTTGCTTCGGATCTACAAAAGATTGTGACTGTGGCTGTTCTATTTGGCAGTGTGAACCTGGGGAAGTGGCCTTGTGCAATATTCTACTTTATTCAGGGCATTAGACAATTTATATTCTGAGGGTTAAGCAAGGTCATGTCAGCCAAGCTCAGTTGACATTATGTTGTATACAGTCAGGAGGGCAAGGTCACATTAGTTAGGGCTGTATACAGTCACAAGGACAACTCGATTTTGGAACCATTGTTCTGGGTGACAATAAGGGTGAGGAAGGGTGTAAAGGACATGCCCTGGGAGGGGAATGAAAACGCATCCCAGGAACAAACTATGGAATGGAGGAACAGACATTACAAGACTGTGGTCTTATTTAAATGGAGTTTTCTCACAAGGTCTCAGAAATCTCTTCAGATAGCTTTACTCATTGATGATGTTATGTCATCAACTCAACATGGGTAGGGCAGGAGAGGAACCAACAGCCTCATAGGGAAAAAACCATGCCAGGCTGACCTGTCCGTTCATGGGCACTCTGTAAGAACTTACTGCCTGTGTGTGGTTCGTTTGCCCCTTGTATGAGATGCATTTGTGAGATGCATTTTATACCCTCTCTCACAGGGTGGGCATTTGGGACCAGCCAGCAGGGCCCTGGAGGTTAGCTTAGACTTGTTTTTAAATAGTAAAATTTTCTTCAACTTTCTTTTATTACTCCGTTTACCTGTAGTTTGGCTACTTTTCTCATAATTCTCTTAACATACTAGTTAAATTGTAGGTTGTTCAGTTTTTACTAACCTATCTCTCTTACTAGTAAATTCCTTCAGTAGTTACTACTTTCTTGTTGAGAACCTGGGGAGAATTTCATTGAAAATGGACCATGATGCATACATGTGAATAGACGCAGAGACACTATGACTGAGGGGAGACGACCAATCTTTCCAGGACAAAAATTAGGGTTTATCCTAACTTACAATTTTGACTATTGCAAACAGGTAAAATGATGGAAAAAAATCTTTTTGTATTAAATTCTGTTTAGAAAGCAATTTTATACTGTTGACAATAATTACATTTTTTTCAGAATTTTCTACATGTATTCACTGTGCTTTGATCAAATCCACTCCATTCTAATTCCTTCCCCCATCTTCCCTTGAAGAGTGTCACATGCATATTCTCTCTCTCTCTCTCTCTCTCTCTCTCTCTCTCTCTCTCTCTCTCTCTGTTGCTCTCTGTCTTGCTCTCTCACTCTCTCTTGCTAGCTCTCTCGCTCTCCTTTTACCCCCACACGCTCTGTCCCTCTCCTTTATAAACCTTCTGCAGTCACTTAGCGCTACACCTCGTTGCTAGTTGAGAGTAATCCAATGGAGCTTCAGTAGTCTCTCAAATCCCTGAGGAAAACTCACTCTCCTACCCGCTCTCGCAGTAGCCATCAGTGGCCAGTAGCTTCTGAGGTAGGAAGCAGAGTGAGTCTCTCTCATCCAGTCTGGTATTTTGATTGGCTTGATCCTGTGCGTTCAGTCACAGCTGCTGTGAATTGCAGACCTACCATGTCTAGCAATCACCATTTTGCTGTTTGACCAGTACCTCTGACTGTCTTTCTACCCACTCTTCTGAGATGATCCCCGAGCCTTAGGAGGTGAGCCTGTGATATAAATGAGATGATATTTCTTGAGGGTTTTTTTTCGGCATCAACATTTATATAGTGAAAGGGACTTGTAAAAGTTTGTGACTAATCCAAGATTTAAACTGACCTACTTAGAAGTTCTTTTTGAAAAGCATTTCCTCCTATGTTCTAGGAATGTATGACGGACACTAATTTGAAGTACAGTATTTAATCTGACTGTGAGTAAAAAGGATAGAAGAAACGGGACACGTGTTTTACAGTTTGAAATTAAAGATAAGGATCGTTTTTATTGTATATGCTTTAAACATGATTGAGTTTGTCACAGTAGTATATATTACGTAGAATTGTTGATCTGTAAGTCCAGTTCCTGATTAAAAGCACAAGCTCCCTTTTGCTCTTTTCTTGGAAACACTGAACAGCCCTGTTAGCAAGCGCCTTTGTTTAAATAGCTCACTGTTGCTATCTCTGCACCTGTGCTTGCCTGATCAGAGTGTTAGGATAATTTCTATTTGTTTCATGCAGCCTTCATGTCCCAAAGAAAATTATATGAAACAAGAAAATTTTATTAGCCTGTCTACTGTTTTAATGTGAAAATACATCTCTTTCTGTCAAATTCTATTTCTTTCCTACCTTGAATGAATCTTGTGTGGAATCTGGAAGAATAGTCATTTTGTTTTTTCTTTTTTCTCCCATACAAAGTCTTTAGTCCTCAGAAAGGTGTAGAGGACAACAGCCCCGCAGTCCTTGAAGTCATTTACAAAGCTTGTCTCTTTTGACAATTTCATACATGTGTATGATAAGTTTTTACCATTTTTATTCCCCATTATCCTCTCTCACTCCTTCCCTCTTCTGCTGAAGTTTTTTTCTGCACAACAGACCCCTCCTACACTGGTATCCAGTGTGTGTGCGTGTGTGTGTGTGTGTGCATGTTTGCATGTGTGTGTCCCTCTTAGTTTAATTATGGTTGCTGGGATGAACATGAGTATAGTGTTTACGGGAGCATAGGCTATACCACAGAAGAAAACATTGACATTCCTGTAGGCCAGTGATTCTCAACCTTCCTAAGTGCTGCGACCCCTCAATATAGTTCCTCATGGTGCACTGACTCCCAATCATAAAATTATTTTTGTTACTACTTCATAACTGTAATTTTGCTAGCATTATGAATTATAATTAAATATTTGATATGAAGATGACCCCTTCTCAGGTGACCCCTGTGCAAAAGGATCATTTGACCCCCCAAAGGGGCAGTGAGCCACAGGTTGAGAGTGCCTGCTGTAGACACTCTGAGGGTTAAGGCCTTCTGAACATGGTTCCAGGCTTGTCGATCCCTTGAGGCTAACCAGAGCTGCAGTGAGGCCATGAGTTCAGCGCCACGTCATGTCCTGAAGACTTGGAACACTTGTCCCCAGTGTCTCTCTCTTCCATCCTTCCCATCCAGTCTGTGTTCATGTTTTTGGAGTGTTTGGTGTGCTGCCATAGAAATTCTGTTGAGGAATGAGCACTCCAGTGTGGTGGATGGCTACTTTTCTTACATGAGATTATTTGTCACAGTTTCTAATTTTATGTATCTGTGCAGTTGTGGCCTCCTTTGCCCTGCTCGTTTGGTGAGGCATATACTATTTTCCATGAGTTTATCCACAAGTCCTGGCTTACTCACACTTTATAGTTCAGAATAACTTCCAGCTCATTATTACTGGTTTTCAGGAAGTTATTAAGTTTTTAAGGCATTGTTAAAATTTTACATAAAATGGCTTTTAGAGCTGCTGAAAACTAAAGATAGCATTGAGGTTCTCTGTCCCCTCCCTGCTGCTTTCTTGACTTGTTTATATTATTTCATTAAAAGGAATTACTTATGGTTAATTACATTCACTTTAACAGTATTAGTCATTTTATCACTTGAGCTTTGGAATATTTTGAAAGTAGCATTTTATGAGCTGTTTTGGTGTACTCTTAAGTTTTTAGGTCATTTAGTTTGTATTGCTACTGAGTGAGTCAATATTTATTTATGCTTTCCTTAAAAATTAATCATTTTGATAAAGCATGGGCACTTATTGTCTAGTCTTTTATGCAATGACTAAGTCTTAAAATTTTATTTGTTAGTTTTTAGAATTACCTATAATATATGCTGGATAAACATCATTGCCAAATATTGCCATTTCCTTTCTCTATGGATCTCATACACTTTCTCTCTGAAGGGTTTTAATTCTTCCAGTGTCTTTGGACCTTGTTAAGAGTAGGCCAATCCCCTTTGAGTTTCTCTTCCTTCTCTTCTTAGTTTTTATTTCTGCCCATGAGAACATTTTATGTCTAAAATCTTGGGGAAGAACACAACCTACTCCTTTCCTTCTCTTTTAAAGACTTATTTTGCATGAGTTTTGCCTTCATGTATGTCTGTGCACTCTCTGTGTGTGTGTCTGTCTGTGTGTGTGTGTGTGTGTGTGTGTGTGTGTTGCACTCGAGGCTGGAAGAGAGCATCCCGCCTCCTGCACCTGGAGTTAGAGACAGTAATGGCCATATTGTGGGTGCTGGGAACTGAACCTGGGTTCACTTATCTGTTGATCCTTTTTTCTAGCTACTTTTCTTTTTATCCTATTCTTTGAAAAAGATTTCATAACGTTTTCAGGATTTTTCTTTTAATGCAATAACTTCTTGTTTGGGACACGTGGGATGGGACTGATGACCCAGCATCCTTTACTTTTACGTAAAGGGTAGAGCATCTTTAGGATGGAACTCACGGGTGTCTGGGGAATGGCATGTGTCTATCGTGAGTAGGACAGTGTGGACTAAGAACTGTGAAACGTGTGTGGCTGAGCGTGGTATTCCATCCCTTACTGTTCTGGCACAATCGGTACCCATGTGGGGGTCACACTGTGATTTGTACACAACTCTCCCTCCACTTTTATGTAATCACACAACTCTATTTCCTTTCTGTCCAATTCCATTCTTTTCCTCCAAGAAGATTCTCACCAAGAAACTATTTTCTTTTTCAATCTGAATAATTAAATAAAACCCTTGACCTCAAATTCCCTCTCTGCTGCCCCTGTAGCTCTGTGTTTTCTTCACTGTCAGATTTTTTTATTAGAGCTTTCTCCGCTTCCTTCATTGCTTCTTTCTTCCCTTAAAATCCACAAGGACAAGGTTATGGAGCCATCACTTCACATACAAATCAACATTTACCATGGCTTCATATTGCCGAACGCCGTGTGACCAGTTCTGAGCACTCACCTTAACTCTGCATCTTAATGGATAATCTGTTGTTTCACCTTTTTTTGAAAGCATTTTATGAATAGATGTTCAACTAGTTTTCTGGAGCCTCTACCCTCTGGGCTGTCCTGCATGAGCCTCTTTGCTGGATGCCCGAGCCCGCATGCATGTACAGCTTCTTCCCCAGCTCTGTCTCCTCCCTGAGTAGGTTGGCCCTGTAGGTCTTACATATGTGGGTACAGATTCACAGCTCTGGTACATATTTCTACTCAAATGCCCTCTATCTTTTATTGACCATTTTCACCCTTCCTCTTGAATACCAAATTAACATTTCAATTTTAAAATATTTAAAATCAAATAATTATTTTCACTTCTTTAAATAACTAAGGTAAGTCACTAATTTTGAGAGGTATCTAAGTATATGTACATAACATGTATATATACATGCACATGCATATATACATATATATGGTGAAATATGAACATCAAGAAAATATACAGTAAAAAAATAAGTCTGTGCTTTATCTTCATTCTTCTGCTGTTTAAAAATAGTCTTAATATTAACATGTCTCACTTACAATTTAAGAATGTTACCTGGACTTTCTGAAGTGTGATAACTAAAGCTATTGCTTATTTTGAGATTCTTCTTCATATTCCTATGTGGTATACAGCATAGACAGATATTTAAATTAGTATGCAACCTGCATTGATCTTATATTTCACACTTATGTAACTTAAACGATATTGCAAAGAAGAATGTTCATCCTTTGTAAGTGTGCGTGTGTGCATCTGCACATGTACACTAATAACAACTCAGTCATTCTGTGCATGAGTCTCAAGTCAGTGTTTAACTGTGTCCCTCCCCCTCCCCCTCCCCTTTTCAGTGCCCACGGTTGATGTCTTTCAGATTTCGACAAAAGAGCGGTTTGGATTGGGACATCAGCTGAAAAAGTAAGTTTGCTGAGGAGTAAAAAATGAATTGCCTTTCAAGAGATCCAGATTCTCATTTTGCTCTTATGCTGTTTCTCTTCTCCTCCATTTCTTTCAAGTGAGTCCCTGGGGATGGGGCATTCTCTGAGCTTTCGTTCCAGCTTCCAGGACCCTCTCTCTTCCCATCCACACCCACTCACCCTTCCATACCCCACACCCTACCCTTCTTGCTCATGTGCACACGGGTTCTCGGTCTCTGATGTGTCCAACAGAGGAGCAAAGGCAGAAAGATGGAGAGGAGAAGGAGAGACTTCTCCTTTGGGAGTCACCTAGAGGTGGTCTGTTGTTTAAGTTTGTTTATTTCATCCTGCTGGGCTGTTCAGCATTTTATATCTACCCTTCCCAACATTCAGTTGGTGGTTTCTGCTATGTTCCTCTGGCCTGGGAAAAGCAGCAGGCTAGCACCCACTGACTCTGGGCCATTGTTATTCCCTACATGTGTGCTTTGAAGCATTCCTTTGTAAGTTCTCCTTCTCTTTCTTGTTCCTTTACTAATAGTATATGTCTTAGTTATTTTGATTACTGGGATGTGACATCATGACCACAGCAACTTTTACAAAGGAAAACATTTAATTGGGTCTGACTTACAGCTTTGGAGGCTTAGTCCATGAATAAGTGAGCTCTAGCTCACTTTTATTTTCTGATTTTTAAGTCTTTTTTCCTAAAACCCTGTTTCTTGTTTTTGTTTTTGTTTTTGTTTTTGTTTTTTTAAAGAATCGAGGGGAAGCACTCTTGACAAAGCCAAGTGAAAGGGCATTATGTCTTTGAGTAGAGAAAGAGCAATGGTGAGCTACAGATCCAGGAGTTGATCTTTCAGCTTTTCTGCAATCAGGTCCATACTGTCACATATGAAGGTGTAGATCACATGTGGGAACAAGCAAATCTTTGCGGATCTTGAGAGCTTGTGGTTTGACTGAAGGAAATAACTATGCTGTCCAAATGGTCTCCTTCGGTGACCTCCCATACACAGCGAGCACAGCTCTATATTTGGATAGGATCTAGATGAGCCTCAGCCACCAGACTACCTACCTACCCCAGATAGGCTTTGGCAATGCATAACAATTACACACAATATTGGGATAGCACATGGTGACTCTACACAAGTTCAGCATATTTATATTTTCAGCATCACATCCCTGTGATGAAAATATTCCAAATCTTCCAGCTTTTTGAAACCCATAGATGACATTCTAACCTGCGATTATGGTGCCGAGCCACGGCACAGAGAACTAATTTCAATCTTTTTGTGACTTAGTACTCATTGCTCTGCCTTCCTGCCACCCACCTCTGCACTGGCTCCAGCCTCCGATCACCATCCTATTCTGTAATACTAGCATGTTTCCTTTGTGCACAGGAGTGAGGTCAACAGTTTTAGATCTTGCAGAGATGAGAGCATGTGGTGCTATTCTTCTCTGCCTGATTTCTGTTACTTAGTATGATCCCCAGTTCCATCCATGATGTTTGCAAATGACAGGAAACTGTAATTGTCCTTGTCTCTGCTTCATTGTTTTCTTGTCTTTGAGATAGAGTCTTGCTTTGTAGCCCAGGCTCCACCCTTCAGGATCAGCCTCCAAACTGCTGGAATTACAAGTCTGCACCACCATGCCCAACCAATGGAGTCATCTCTGATGGGTCCTTAGGTTGTTCCCATCTGATGTTTGTTTTGAATAGTGCTGCAGCAGGCATAACTGTGCAAAAGATTCTTCTCTACACATTTCATTTGTTTGGGTAAATGCTGGTGGGATTGCTAGAACATGTGTTAACTCGATTTTAATTGTTTGAAGAAATCACGTTCTGTTTCCAATAGATCTATCTATTTATCTATCTATCTATCTATCTATCTATCTATCTATCTATCTATCTATCATCTATCTATCTATCTATCTATCTATCTATCTATCTATCTATCTATCTTGTGTGTGTGTGTGTGTGTGTGTGTGTGTGTGTTGTGGAGTTTGTTCTTTTCCACCTTCATGTGGCTATCAGACTTCACAGCAAGCATTTTGCCTGCTGAACCATCTCATGGGTGCCCATCCTGGACATCTTCATTTAACCAACACTATGCGCTCCCTCTGTGCCCAGTTTCCCCCTCACTTCTTTTCCTCTATATTTAGATGTGAGGCAAAAATCCTGACTGAAAATATTGACATATACCCCAGTTAACCATGGCCAAAATATAAATAATAAGTCCTGTACCTGTCAAAATTTCAGCTTTTTGAATGTGTAAGAATTCTTGAAGGACTATTTATTCTTTCCAGTCCATAAACTTGATTTACTAAGAGCCAGTTAGCTCTTGAGCACTAATGCAGTGGTTTAGATCTTGATCAGAATGCAGCCCACGCCTTTCTCCTTCAGTTTAATGAATTTTCATCTTCATCGTATGCCAGCAGTTATTGAGTAATGTTCTAAGGGAAAACACTTTAAAATTCCCCATGCCCGCTTCCTATTCTCTGGTGCCGGAAGTCTTATGTGATGTCTGAGACTGTCCATATCTTAGGCCTCTAGGCCTGCCATCAGCCTTTATGGCACTACACCAAGATAGCCTTGTGGAGATATGAATTATGCATGATTGTATTTGAAAGAACAGGAAACTTTTAGCTCCTCAGTGCTGAGTCTAGATGCTCATACAAATGTAGAATCAAATAGTTAACCCTTAACGTGTGGGATTCTGTGTCTCTAAAGCTAAATTTAATATACAAGGGCTGTTTAGTACAATATAGTGTGCAATGTTCTCTTTCAAAGGACTTTCAAAGATCTTAGTAAATCTTTATTTACATTTCTGTTCTGGAATTAGGGAGGCTTCTCCAGTGCAATTGGTTTCTTTTTTTCAGATGGACTTTGTTTTTTACATAAATCCTTGGCTTATTCATCCTGTAGAGGAGCCTGGGGGTACCCTCACATCATGTTGCCTTAGACATATTTTATAAGCACTGGTTGTTTTTGTTGTTTGTGGAATGGTGCTCATCAAAACAAGATTAGAAATAAAAAAAAAAAACCCACAGAAGTACCAGAATAAACCATGTTTAGTCTGTATTGTCTCATGAGGGAATTGCTTGAGTTTGGACAAAGAAACGGTATCTATAGCTGTAAGCCTGAAAAGTTAAAGAAAGTGTTCTGGGGTTTGTGCTTAATAGATGCGTGTGTATTATGTAACATTTTCTGTTTATAGTTCCATCCTGGTGGTTAATGATTTTGGAACTGTTAACTTGCTTTCATGAATGAATTTTAATTACGTAGCTAATTTGCTAGAATGGGTTACATAGTTTTTCATGTTTTCGTGTTGAATTTCTGTCTGGTGCAGGATTAAGTTGCTTGAATCATAAGTGTTTTTGTCTGTGGATCTTCTGTTCCTATCTAGTCAAAATAACACAATTTGAAATTTCTGGTCTCATCTTCATGATAGTTCGTAAGATTCGAAGCCGTTATTTTCCCTGAAACATATTGAAGGAGGAGACTATTTTGGAATTGAGGCTACTCCACATTCAATGTTTTCCGTGATACTTTATCCTGCTGTTTTCAGGCACCAGGACCAAGTGCTCAGTGTATGTCACTGCCCTTCCAAACACTGACACAGATTCAGCCACTTACTCTCCACTATAACTTTGTGACACACAGGAAATATTATCATTTTGCCTCAGTGATGATACTGAAGCTCAGAGCATACAAGTCGTTTCTTAAAAGCCAGCCAGCCAGAAGATGCTAGAGTCCAGATTTATGTCTAGTTCAATCCTTCAGAACCATGTGCTGTCTGCCATATAAACATATGTGCCCTGTTGCCATGTATATGTTGTGGAATGTGTTTGGTATTGAGTGAATATTGTATGAGTGTCAAGTCAACAAAAGAGCTTAAGAGAAAATACTTGACTAATGTTCATGTCTGACATGACATAGAAGTTATGATCTATGGGATGAGATGTCTGCCGTTAAAGGTTGACTATATCAGTGACAGCAGGAAGAGCCCTGAAGCCGTGAGTGACTCTGTGCCTACTTGATCAAAGTTAAATTCTATTTGTGGGAAGAAAATAGTGTAGGTCTTCTTTGCCTCATACGCATGTGAAATGCCAAGGTAGAATTAGGTAATGGTTCCTAATTTGTGAAGTTCTACATTTATAGTAATTCAACTTACATATGTACTGTATGACCCAAAATTTAAATCAACACCGTTAGAACAGTTTTACCAGATGGTATTGGCTGAAGCTGGCCATGTCTGCCAGTTACAGTATACTACTACTAGTGTGTATTGTTATTCTGAAATCAACAGAAGGCAAACCATGATGTTGTTCTTATAGTCGCTCTCTGTCTCTGTCTGTCTGTCTGTCTGTCTGTCTGTCTGTCAAGACAACCCTGAACCTTTGATCAGAAAGTAGCTGATGCACCACTTGTCTAATTGTTCTTCACTTAGTAAATACTTAAATATTCTATGGCTCTGTGTTATGAGAAGGTGGTCATCATAGCATATGTGAATATATATGTAATTTCAATCATTACTGACATTAGCTGTCTTACAAGAAGCAGTTGTTTCCCTTTACATACGAGGACAACTAGGACTCATAGCACATTTAAGAGCTACCAATGTTAGCTGGTAAAGCCACACTTTGGAATAACAATGTAACCTGAAAGTGAGAGACATTTTGGCCATTTAACCTGTTATGTTCTTTGGTTCCAATTAGCTTATCCAGGCTGCACTTGGTAGCCGTCTTAGATAGCAGGTCATAGGATCAGGAGCTTTCTCCAGCATAGGAAGAAAAGAACCTGAATCTAATTGGTAAAAAAAAAAGTGGTTCCAGAGAGTTTTCTTTTTATTAGTATCTAGGAGAAATAATGATGATGATGAAGCACTCATCTTCCTGAAATACCAAGTAAAAAATAAAAAAAAATCAGTCTTCAGACATTAAATAAAAACAGAATAAAGAGATGGATGCCCTGCTCTTAAGCTCTGAGGCAAATGTCCTGTGCAGTTAGCATCACAGCATCAGTCAACACAATTTATTCTCCTTTTTTTTTTCTCACCACTTTCATTCCCCTAACGATGCCAGACAATTCATCCATGACTCTTCTGAACACATGAGAGATAGCAGGAGAAAGGCAACCATACCAGAGTAAGAAATGGTGAAGTGGACTAGTCAAGACCTGAAGGATGTTGAGAAATTTTGGTAGTTGTCTTCTTGCTAAGACTCACACCTTCTCCACTGACCAGATGCCTTATTTGAATCCACTCTCTAGAATTAAGAGGAATTTTTTTTCATGTACAAGAGTCCTTTTTAGTCCCTGGCATAGTCAAGCTGACAAACAAATACTGGCATCAATTTTCTCTCTTAGAAGCAGTTTATAGAAATAACAAAAGAACATGATGACCAGGCTTGAAGGGATTTTGGAAAGAAAATAAAAATGTCAAATGTATAACACATATAATATATAATTGTAAAGTTTCACATGTGCAGAGATGCCATCATTACAGGATCCACTACCCTGTGACTTGGAAGATGGGATTCAGAGCCTCAGCCTCAGGTCCTTTGCAGAGAACATTGCTGTCAGAGTCCATAGAAGTCTTTTCCATGAACCAGCAAGGAGGTAGAATATGTGGAAAATTCTGAGACTAGGAATCACTAACTCCCAACTTTATGATAATAAATAAGATACTTTAGGAATATATAATTTTTTAAAAAAGCATATATAGAGGTGAATGCGCTGTGTTTGATAACTATATATATATTTTTTACAGCATTTATCACTTCATAATAGTTTTACAATCTGGTTTTCTTTTTCTTGAAGAAAAAAAAAACATATGGAACAATGAAGTAAAAATTGGCGGCACTTCAAATAATTCACATAAAAGTTCTCAATCCTGGAGGCTGCTCTCAGAGTTCTCTTTAAATGGTTTGTTTCATAAATTCTCCAACAATTTGAGAAATTAAATTATAGCAGTATTCTATTTTAACTTATTAATAAGTAGGTTTCTTAATCACTTTTATGATATAAGTCATCATAAAAGAGTCATTGTAATTTCTTACATTCTGGCTTCCTTCGTATGAAAATTCTTTCACAACTCAAGCTTAGCCTTTTACTTATGAGTATGTTATATTCTCTTGATAATATGTTCTCCATGCAGTAGATACCTAACTATTGGTGGGCACCTTACTGATGGGCGTGGTGGCACACACCTTTAATCCCAGTACTAAAAAGGCAGTCTGAACCCTGGGCGTTCAAGGTTATCCTGGATCTTGTAGCACATTCCAGACCAGGGCTACATAGTGATACCCCTGTTTCAAAGCAAAACCGCAACAACCTCCCTCTGTCCCTCCCGACCTCCCCTGTCCCTCCCGACCTCCCCTGTCCCACTCCCCTCCAGTCACCAAGCCTGTCTGCCAACCATCCATCCAACAAAACCGGAAGTACTTGTTTAGGTGGTGTTAGGACTGTGCTAACAATACTTCCTTTGCATTGACAGAATCATGCAGACATTTGTTTCTCAGCAGTGGAAACAGAGCAAAGAAAAGTCCAATTGCCCGCATGGTAAGAAGCTGTCAGAGAAGAAGGTGAAGTCTCCTCTGCATTTGTTTTCTACCCTGCGCAGGTTGGTAACAGGCATCTTCATCCTTGTCTTAGTGCTGATCCCCCATAGAGTCTGTCTTCACCTAGTTTAAAAGTATTCTTTCTTGTTAGCTGTCTGCTTATTTTATATATGACTTCCAAGAAAAGACTGAGTTACAGGTGTCCCATCTAAAACATCGATGGACATTTGAGTTGACATTGAAAAAATGTATTAAAATTAGATTTTGTTTTAAAATAGAGGTTTCATCAAAAGCTAGTTCTTTCTGGGGTTCTGGGGTAAGTCAGAGAGAGAAACCAGGCTGCAGTCTTCTTGTGCTTATCAAAGATATGGTTTAATTCCTGTGATCCATTCTGCACCCAGAGCAGAGAGGCAGTTGATGGGGTGCCAACATTTGTCTGGTGGTTGAGCTGGGGCCCTAAGGTTAGGTCCAGTATTTGCCCTATGTTAATTGTTGCTCATCTCCAAGGTCGCCCAGCTATCCTCCCCCTGGTTGTGGCAAAAGCAAATCCAAACTGAAACCCGAACAAGACGGCATCTCCAAAACACACAAGCTGCTGCGTAGGACTTGCTCCAGTACTGTCAAAGCCGATGATATGTGTGCCAAGTCGCACAGGACCTTCGGGCGCTCGCTGTCCAGCGACCCCAGGGCTGAGCAGGCGATGCCCACCATTAAATCGCACAAACTTTTGGGCCGGCCCTGCCCCGCAGCCGGCAAGCAGGAGGACTGCCTGACACTGAAATCGCATAAGTTATTGACTCGATCCTGTTCTGGAGACCCACGATGTGAGCACAACACCAACTTGAAGCCCCACAAACTGCTAAGCAGGTCTTACTCCAGTAATCTCAGAATGGAAGAGTTATATGGGCTGAAAAATCACAAATTGCTCAGCAAGTCTTACTCCAGCGCCCCCAAGTCATCGAAAACGGAGCATTTCAAGGAACCCAACGCAGAGGGCAGGAGGCTCTCGCTTACCTCAGGGCTTATTGGTATTTTAACACCATCGTCCTCTTCTTCCCAGCCTCCTGTGCGTAAACACTTTCATCTTGCCTTCTTATATGTAGCTAAGGGGCAAGAAATTTGTTCAAATTTTTTTATAAGACCTGGGAGAGGAAAGAAGCTAGACAATGTTATTTCTTTTGTTTTTAAATTTGCTGTGTTTTTCCTTTGGAAATATTATTTATGGCCCAGAACAGTTAGTATGGGTTCTGAAAAAAAACGTGATTACTGATTTTCATTTCGGTTCATATTCCTCTCATTGAGTACTACTAAAAATCGAAGAAATTCAATTAGATTTACAAAGCTTTTAATCTTTATTAAGTAGGCCATTTAGTCTTCTCAGCTCATGAGTGGTGGAGGACACTTGTCTCATAATTAAGAATATTATTTAAGTTATATATTAGAGAATTTTGTCTGTGAACAGTGTGGTCAGTGATAGAATTCAGGAGCTTCACATGAAGTTTTTCTCAATGTCCATTCTGTGCTAACGCAGTTTGGGGGCGGGCAACGTGGTTTCAGCGGATGACTGTATGGTTGGTATTGACTATGAATCAGCCTTACACAAAATTTACCTCTCCAGTGATTAGCATTCAGCCAACATCTGACAGACTTAAATTATACATGTAGTTATATAATAATGGTTGATGAAAGTTTTGTTTGCTGTTTTAAATATGCGTTTGTTGTGAGTGTCAGTTTAATGATTCATAGGGATACACACACACACACACACATATGTTAACAAAAATAAGAGACTGTGTTTAGGAAGTCATTCGTCATTCTTACATAGACTTTTCCCTACAGCTGAATCACAGCTACTACTGTAAAATTACACTTGTGTTAGGAAACACTGACAATCTTTATAACTTTATATCAATATTTTAAAAGTCCGTTTAAAGCTACGGTTTAACGACATGGAGAAAGTTGTGTCAATCCAGTACATAAGGAATGTTTCCCGTGATAGTCTCACTGAGAAAGATAATTTCAGATAGTTTGTAAAGGAAAGTGCGTATTTTTCTCTGTTCTTAGCTAGCCCAATAAGAGATTGAGTACCAGAACCTTTGCTCACAGCCATATAATTTTCCTTAAAGGAATCATTGCAGGTGATAAGATTTGAATATTCCAGTGATGGTGTGGACATTTTTTTGGTCAGTGATAGAATAAACTGAATTCATGTAATGATAGCCATTTCTACTAAAAGATGAGAAAGTAAGAATATCATTTTTAAGACAAAGTTCCAGATTACACAACTATGACAGGATTAGTAAAGAAATTCAGCGTTTTGATATTATTCTATCTGACAATACTAATGTGGTCTTCTGCATTCATTTCTGAAGAAGGTAAGAGCTGCAATCGCTACATTTTTCCCCAATGAAAAATTACTTTTCTTTTTTAAACTTTGCTTTTTATAGACAAATGGTGCAAAATGCATTCCAATCCGAGACCGTGGCTTCCTGGTGCAGGTATGAGTTAAGACCACCGTGTGCTGTTGGGAGCACTTTGTCTTGGCTGGGGGCACACATCACTTGAGAACCACACTGCTTATACCCTTGTATTGTTTTCTCAGACCATTGAGTTTGCTGAACAGCGGATCCCTGTGCTGAATGAATACTGTGTGGTGTGCGATGAACCACACGTGTTTCAAAATGGCCCCATGCTTAGGGTAAGTTCCCATTGACTGAGCTTCCACATTAACATACAAGCAAGCGGGGACATTCCAATTTGCAAATAGATAAGCAAATAAATGCATTTAGAATGAGTATTCCCTAGGGCGAATTATTTAATAATTTGCATGGAAAGGAGTTAATATGACTTACAGAGGCATCTGTGAAAGCGTAAGTAATTTCCTGCTAAGATTGTGTTCCTTATGTCTGTCATCTTATTATCTATTTCCATTTATTTCTATATTGGCAATAAGTCTCATAAACTGTATATTTATATGTTTATTTAATAACACACGGCTTCTAGGAACAGACTTTTATAAGGCTAGACAACTAGGGTACTAAACTGGGGTTTAGTGTGTTTGTTCAAAACCACAAAATTTAAGACATTTTACAAAGAGGTTCCACGCAAATTCCACACAAGTACACAGTAATGTTGGGAAAGTCAGAAGAAAGTTCAAACCGCCAACTTAGGGACAGTGTTGTCATGTCACCTAAGATGTGTGGGAAAAGAATTCAACAGGTGTGTGTTCAATAAAAGTTGAAAATAAAACCCAGATTTCAAATTGAAGTTTATATAATCCTTGGGGTGGTTTGATTGACTCTGTAGGCTCTTGTATTTGAATGCTTAGTCTCCGGTTAGTGGTACTGTTTGGGGGAGGCTAAGGGGAGTCTTGCTGGAGGAGTGTCATCATTAGGAGAGGAGCGTCATCCACTATGTGGATTCGTAACTGTGCCATTCTCATTGCTTTCTCTCTCTGCTTCCTGTGTGGAGTTGAGATGTGATCTCCCATCCTCCTTCTTTAGTCCTGCTGCCATGGCTTGCCTGCCCTCCAGTCCTCTGGAACCACAAGCCAAAATAAAGGTTTCTTCTCTAAGTAACTTTTCAGCAACCTCTGACTTATTCCCTTTTTCTATGGATGCTTTCAAGTTTCATTCTTGTAGCATGGTTCAGTACTCTTCTCCCTTTACCTCATTCAGTATTCCGTTTGATGGATGGACACAGCACATAGGTTTATTCATTCATCAGTTGATGGAATCTCTAGGACCTACATTTAGACCTCTCTCTCTCTCTCTCTCTCTCTCGGATGACTGAATGGTTTGCAGAGTGACTACACCCTCCCCACTATCATTTTGGTGACAGTTCCACTTTCTCCACATCTACATTCCTTCTTTACTTTTTTCTTCAACAATTGTGTGAGTGCACATGTGAGTGTGTGTACATCTATGTGAATCTAGCTCTCCGGTTTCAGTAACCTCATAATGCATGATTATTTTCAGAATGTTCTCTTGTGATTATGGTCCATTTACATATCTTTAGAGAAATGTCTGTTCCAAACCTTTTCTTGTTTTTGTATTTTATTACTGATTGGTAAATATTCTTTATTCTGAATATTACATCTTTATTACTAGATCCTTAACATACAAATGATAAAGACTTTATTTTGTGTGTTTTCTGTCTTTCTTTTTTTTTCCTATACTGATACTCTCTTATTGGGCATTGATATTGGGATCAGTGATTTTGTTTTTTTATTGGATATTTTATTTACATTTCAGATGTTCTCCCCTTACCCCATTTCCCCCTCTCCCGCCCAGGAACCCCCATCCCACCCCCCCTCCTCCTGCTTCTATGAGGATGTGCCCCCACCTACTCCCCCACTCCCACCTCCCCATCCTCAAATTCCCCCGTGTGTTTTCTTTCTATTTTCTTGATAATGTCTTCAATCCAGTAAGTTTTACACTTTTATGGAGTCTAATATTTTTAATTTCTTGAATTTTTGATGTGATTCTAAGGAATTGCAATCAGAGTAGTGTGAATTAGCTGTGTTCTCCGATGACGACTTTGCTCTGGCTCTGTATTTCGACTCCCTTGTTTTGCTCCATCAGTTCTGTAGCCACCTTGTCCATTTTTGCAAATGAAAGCAGTTGGAATTTATAGATGTTTGCATTTAACCTGCACATCGGTTTGTGAATTATTGTCATTGGCTATATACTAAGTCTATGTCTTCCCTTCCAAGTCAATAGACTGGCATCCCAGTGTCCATGTGATGTCACTAGGAGTGTGAGGCAGAGATGAGACTGCCCTGTGCAGGGGACCCACTAGACCAGGTAGCCGAGAGCTCCCTTCCTCCTCTAGCAAACGGGATAGAGTGGTATCTGTCACCAGCCTTTCTCTTGTACACCTGACACCAACAGTGGTCCCTCACCAGACACTGAGCCTATTGGCTTTGTAGCTCCCAAACTATGAGAAATAGAAGATTTTTTTTTTTAAAAAAAATGGCAATCTGCATGGACTGACACAGTTGTATGTTAATTTTCCCAAAGTGTGAACTGAGGATATCTTTTACTTATTTGGATATTTTAAAGTTTCTTTCAGTGCTGCTTTACACTTTTTAGCATATAAGTTCTATATTTCTTTGAATAATGTTTTATGTAAATGGATTTTTATTTCATTTGCAGGTGGTTCTTCTTTGTATAAAGGAATACAAATAATATTTTTAAATTGTCCTTGTGTTCTGTAACTTTGCTGGCTTTCATTAGTTCTAATAAGTGATTGTTGGTTTCTTTTAATGACTCTCCATAGAAGATTTCTTAGGTTCTTTTTCCTGTTGCTATTATACTTAAGGGAAACTGGAGAGCCAGCTCATTGGTTAAGAGATAACCAACATACAAAGAGAGGAGACTTAGTTTTGGCTCACTGATTGGAAGGTCCTGGTCCATGATGAGTCGATTCCATTACTTTGATATATGGTGGGGCAGCATATGGCAGGAGTCATATGAGATAGCAGAACTATACCCCCCTGTCCCAGGATCAAGAGAGAACAGAGAAGCTGGAACCCTCTTCAGCACACATACCTGTGACCTAGTCCACACTAGGTCCCACCCCCTCAAGCTTTCACCCTCACTCTGGGGATCAAGGCTTTAACACAGAACTCTTTAGCAGCCCTCAAATCTCATCGACTCCTGCCTCTTTCAAAACAGAGGATTGGTTGTGTGGATTAGAAATGTACACAACAGGACCTTCATTTGTTGACACTTTTGCTCCTTCTGTTTTTCATTTCACTTATTTTTCTAACTATTACTGAGAACAGAAGTACTATGTTGTTGAGCCGTCCATTTCTACCTATGGCTTTATCACTGTTTGTTTCCCTCATTACTTTGGAGGAGTGTATGGTTCTACATGTTTATACAATTATATTACATGATGTTTGTGATACTTTGTATCTCTTGTCTCTATTAGTAGTTATTACCTTTAAGTCTGTTTTAGCTCATGTTATTGTGGTCCCTGCAAGTTCTTCACTCCTCTAACACCTCCTGCCTCTCTCCTTCCTACCTACTAATAAAACTATGTTGGTTTCCTATTCATTTTCTGTATGCATTATGTCTATTCCTGTCATTTTTTTATACCAGCCTTGTGTGTGTATGTGTGTGTGTGTGTTAAATAGCCTTTATTCTAGGTTCTCATTTTAATTTCTGCTTTAGAACATTTTGATGTGTTTTCATGATGCCTATTTAGGAGACTGAAATGAGCGTTTAAAAATTTAAAAGTCTAGTTTAGAAGAAAGCCAACTTTATTTTAATAACATGAAAACTTTATTTTCACATATCCTGTAAACAGTATTTATCATTGTGTGAGCCATTGTGATGTGGAGATGACACACGTCAGAGCGCATGCATGGAGATGAGAGTCCACTTTGTAGAGTCAGGTTGCTTTCTTTCATCATCAGTGACTTCCTGGAATAAAGGTCCTCAGACCGGAAGGAAGTCATGCACTGGTCGAGCTGTCTAAGCTCACACTCCAAATGTCGGGTCTTCCTTCTGATGCCACTATGTGTAAAACACACTTACTACTTCCTGTTGTATCATCACAGATTTAAAATAATTGCTTTATGTACTTTGCTTTTAAACTAGAAAGAAACTGATCTTGTGTATCCTGTCTAGAGATCTCAGAGTTTTAACTTGAGGTATTCCTTCATTATTTCCGGACGGAAGTTTACACTAGTGATGAACTCTCAGAGTTGGTTTAAGAATATTTTCATTTCTTTTTTTTTTACATTTAAAGGACAGTAATGTTACACATAAAATTATTTATTGACCTTTTTCCTTGTTTTCATTTCAATCTCTCTTCTCTTTGATACCTTGTGTTATTGCATGGTTTTATTGTTCTTGTTTTCTGAAGACAAATTAGTGTGCGTGCGTGCGTGCGTGCGTGCGTGCGTGCGTGCGTGCGTGTGTGTGTGTATTTGTGTGTATGTGTGATGGATTCCTCCTATGTGTGTGCTCCTCACATTGCTTCTTATGTCTTTGGTTTTCTGTGATTATTCTCTAGATTTATTTATGTGTTTATTTGTTGATTTATTTAATTTGAGACAAGATCTCTCACTGTGGAGTCCAGGCTAGCCTGAAGCTTCAGTGGTAATTTTGCAGTAGCCTCTTGAATGCTGGGGTTATAGGTGTGCATTGCCAGGGCTCTCAGTGTTTTAACTAAGGTATGTGTATATCTCTTTTCATTTATCCTAGTGGAGTATTATCATCATGTATTCCCCACATCTTTTCCTTTTCTCTCAGGACTCCATCATCAATGCATGTGTAGGAGCTGGTACTGGATAGACCTCTTAGCCTCTGCTCACTTCCTTCATTATTCTCTTACTGAATTACATATCTCAGTTGGCCTACGTACGAACACTCGTGAACTCCTCAAATGCATTCATAGCATGCCTTAGGGTATTTTATATTAGTTTTGATAGTGGTCAACCCCTGCATTTATTTCCTTCTTATAAATTGTATTTATTGATTCTTTGGAAATACCATCTTTAATTAGATTGCTTGTCTTGGCTCTTTAATCGTCTTACAAATGTTGCTCAATACAGTGTCTGTCTTCCCAGACCCTGTCCCTCACTCGCCTTCCTTCTGTACCTGGGCCTTTATTATTTCTTGGCCTCCCTCCCTCCCTCCCTCCCTCTCTCCCTCCCTCCCTCCCTCTCTCCCTCCCTCCCTCCCT